ATTTGTTGGGCTGTAAATATAATCTCTTTATTATTGTCCTTAAAGCAACAGATAATTTGTTGAAAATAACGAAAAACTGACGCATATAAGCTTTAAGAAACTTCTCAAAAAGCCAGATGAAAAATAAGAAAGGTTTAAAAAAAAAAGATCAAATAAAATAAATACATAAAAAAACTTACAAGCAAAAAGATTTTATTCTAAAAAGTATTGAAAAATCATCTCCTATCATAGGTGTATCAATGGTAATAATAATCTATTACAAAACTATACTTTGCACAAAAAATATATATGTATTACAAAATCTGTGCAATAATCATTATAACTTGAAGCTTATAGTAACCTACTTGAAATTGGCGGAATTTTATTAATGTTTTATTTATTATTATCTGTAACGAACCATAGAACACGCGAGTGGAAAAATTGGTATTATTGTAGTATTAATTCACTTGGCACTTTCATTTGAAAGTATAGTATAGGTAATTGCTCAAATTTACAATCATTATAAAAATTAGCCTTTTATTACTTGTATAGATAGAAATAAAATGTTTTTAATTCATTAGTTTTTCTTTGGATCGCCTTAAAAAAAAATTGCTTCCTTATTCAACCTGAAAGCACACTGTACCGACCAAGATAGAAAGTCTAGAGGTACTACTACAAACTTACTTTCCAGGTTCGGTAATCGTTGAACCTGAACTCCGCCTATCGAAAGATCACAAAGCCCTAACGGCAGGAGCAAAAGGCTGGATGGGAAAATCTTCACAATGAACGATTGATAGCTTCAGACCTTACAAATCTCCAGGCAAAGACGGGATCTTTCCCGCACAACTGCAAAAAGGCTACGAGTACTTGAAGGTACACCTACAAAAGCTTTTTAAGACAAGCTTGCTCCTAGGGCACATACCGCTATAAATCATATTGTCCCAAGCTCCTTTCTCCTTAAAACAATGGAGAAAGCAATCGACCAGTACATCAGAAGCGAAGCTCTATTGAGAAGACCGCTCTACTCGAAGCAATTTGCGTATCAGCCAGGCAAATCCACAATAAGTGCTTTACACTGCCTGGTTAAAGTCATTGAAAAGACAATCGAGGGCAAAGAAATCGCTCTCACAGCTTTCATCGACATAGAGGGTGCCTTTGACAACACCTCACATCAATCAATCGATAGAACATTACAAGAATGAGATGTTGAAGTCCCAATTGTAAAATGGATAGAGTCGATGCTGAAACACCGTTACGATACGGCTGAAATAAACACAGCTACCACGGTCAGAGGGTGTTCTTTCTCCACTGCTATGGACACTAGTGGTAAACAAAATTCTTACCAGACTGAGTAATGCTGGATACCAGGTCATAGGCTTTGCAGATGACCTGGCCATTATAATCAAGGGCAAACATGAAGTGGTAATAAACGACAGCCAATCATGGGAGAATAAAGGATTATCTCAAGTAGAGGCTGCATCTCTGTGGTACACAGATGGATCCAAGCTAATGGAAGGAGCTGGACTGGGCATTTCCGGCCCCAACTTCAAGCTCTCCAAGGCATTGGGCCAGCATCTTACAATATTTCAAGCCGAACTGGTTGCCATAGATATAATCCCAACAAACACAAGTACGTCCATAATTCGTACTTTTTCGGACGAAAGTACGTCCCCGGACGTACTTTTTAGGTCCCGCCGACGTACGAGGGACGTCTTTAAGACGGTCGTTTTCCACAAAATAGTACGTCCCACGTACGTACATTCAGGGACGTACCACATACGTACATTAAGGGACGTACTCAGTACGGCTTTTTAGGTACGTGTTGGGGACGTACATTAACGTACGTATTTAGTATAGCTTTTTAGGAATGTTTTTGGGACGTACAGGGTTTTCCCATATATTTTTTTGCACCTTACCAGAACTGGTTGATTGAATAGGTATCAAAAATATGTAAATACAAATGTTGTATTTACACCTTTTTGATACCTATTCAATTAACCTGTCCAGATAGGGTGCAAAAATATATGGAGAAAACCCTAAACATAGAGGTACGAGGTACGTATTTATGTGTAGGTATCTTTATAGTGAAAAATAAAACCATATAAATATGTATTGTATTTTCAAGTTACAATTTTCATACTCAATAAATGCCTTAACAATAACACTAAAAAACTGAAAAAAATTAACACAATATCAAATATAACATACTCTTAAACTTAACCCTATTAAACAACAGTACATACAAAAAAAAACCTACCTAATATGACAAAAAAAATGAAGGAAAAGTGAAGAAAAATTCCAACCTAAAAAAAATATACAGAAATAGAAGATAGGTATTCTACAAACATAATAATATAGAGAATTGTAAAGGGGCATAAACCAGAAAAAGTTTCACACAGTAATAATCTTGGTTAAAAGTATTATTATCGGTACACACAAAATACATAGTAAATTGGTATAGCCAAGCCGCGAAGCCGCCAAGCTAAACACTTAAACCACAGTTTCGGCGTTGCTGCAATCAATACAAAATGGTTCTCGCGTCACTTGATTTGGCAAAAAAAAACAAAAATAGAAGAAAACAAAACCTCACAGTCCTCACACCACTCTACAAACAAACACAAGAAAAAAAGGCAAATGTAGACAGGAACAACTCAAGCGAGGCGTCACATCAAAATGATGAGCCCTCGATAAGCTGTGGTCGAAGATGCCAGTGTTGCCAGATTTCAAATTCAAAATAATCAGAAAAAGTTTGCGTCAATTTTTTTGACTTTCATCTCTAATCTCTATTTATATTTTTCTAACAAAAAAATTAACCAAAAACTAACGGTGCTTTGAGCTCAACTCATTTCTAGCTGGGAAGTATTTGATGCGACCACAAGTACACGTCAAAACCACCAACCAAATAAATTTTTAATTTTCAACTAAAAATTTTAAAGATATGCATTGAAATTGTAGTTTCATTCAATTATGGTAGATTTAGCTTGTGATTATCGATTATTGAATTGTAGTCAAAATGATGGTAGATTTCGATAATTATCGGGTCCTTGGCAACACTGCACCCTGCTGATGTCAAGCCGCCGACGTCCCTTGCTTTCCAATGGTTTATTTCATGTTTATCTTGAAATTTGACCATTTATTTAGGTCAGGTACCTAGATGAAATATAACTCCTTGATTATATAATATGACCTGCACAAAACGTTTATAATGACTATTTATTCGTAGGTATTTATTAAGTTTAGATCTAAGGTTTAGAGAAATCCATGTCAACCTGACCGGCATTTTTGGGTTTACGTTTAGAGGTTAATTTGGAAAGCTACCACTCCCGTATCTTTTGCTCGGAAATTGCATATAATTTGAAAATATCTTATGATCAGAAAATAATCAAAAAATCATGAATAGATGGGGATGATCCAGCACGTCTTGTATTGTACGTCTTTGAAACGAACATGTACGTCTTTTACAAGACGTACGCATTATAGATTCTTACGTACGTTCTTAGTACGTACTTTTTTGTCTGTATATTAATACAGCCTTTTACGTACGTACTCAAAACGTAGTCTTACATCCCGGACGAACCGACGTAAAACGGACCTAAAATGTACGTCTTCAGTACGTACTGTGTTTGTTGGGATATGTGCACAAGAGTGTCTTAACCAAAACCTCAAAAGAAAACACGCCCGAAGGGTCTTCAGATGCACGTCAAAACCAGTCCGGGAGTGTAAACAGACCTTAAAAACACTAGCGACACACAACCAGGTAACGCTGATGTGACTGCCTGGTCATCGAGGCATAGAAGGAAACGAAGAAGCAGATGGCCTCGCAAAAGAAGGGGCCTCAACACTATACCATGGACCAGAGCCCTACTGTAGCTTAATGAAAAGCCACATCATAGAAGAACTTAACAAATGGGAAAAATCATCATATTGGAGGCACACTCCGAGACTCAGACAGTCAAAAAGGTTTTACCCTTTCAGCAAAAAGAGCTGAACAGCTCCTAAACATGAGTAGACCAGACATCAGATTGGTGGCAGGACTACTCACAGGACACTGCCTGGTAAAATATCATTTAAGGTTAATGGGTAGAGCAGAAGATGATCCCTGCAGATTCTGCTCAGACGCAATAGAGACCGCAGAGCACCTACTCTGCGAATGTCCAGCCCAATTCTACAAGAGACTCAAATTCCTCGAGGGGGCAACATTGTCACCAGAAGAAGTGGGCCAACTGACACCCAGGAAAATAGCTTCCTTCGGCAGAAGTCTACGCTTCATGAAGACAACTTAAGATGTCAGTCACGTACAAAATATCTGCAAAGGTAGCAGTGTTGAACGGCTGAAAAGCCGAAACGACACCCCCAGAATTTACAATCTAACTTGAAAGCTTCCTGAAATGTCGCAAACCAAAACTATGTGCACATGTCGTTACTCTTTCTCAATATTCTACGGCAAAATGGTTTCCTTGAACATTTTGCTACTGCCTGCAGAATCTCTTGAGTGTTCCTCATAAAAACAAAGGTTAATTAATTTTGTTACGAAACGATTTTTAATGAACAAATAAACAATTGATATTGTTCTTGAGCAACATTACGGGGATTGCGTTGAAAATAGCAGTAAAATAAGTATTTAAACTTACTTATTATTTCGGATTTGGACCAACCTTTATTCTAATTTTTTTATCCAATTCACTTAACTTGGCATTTTTATAGAGAAAATATGAAGCATTGTTTTTGATACCTAAGTACCCATGATGGAACTGGAACTCTCCCTTATATTTCACTAAAAGATTTCAGATCTGGAGTGCAGAGGAAACGGTACAGAGGTGCCTTATCCCAATTTGATATTTTCCACTTTTCGATGTCTAAAATTATCATTATTTCATAAAGTATGAAAAAAAAAAAAACAGAAATCCATCCCTAGTATAAAACGATATTATTTAAATAATGGTTCCTCGTAACCCAGGTGTGGTGGTGGAAAAACTATAGCTCTTCGCAACTTTCATACCAAGAAGGCAAAGAACTGACGAGGAAAAAGAAGAATCCGTTTCGGTACCGCTTCAGTCTTTACTTAACCGGTGCTTAATCAGTTAGTAGTTAGACGGATATAATATTATACCGGGTGTATTGCAAAATAGTACCTTATTTAAAAAAACAATGAACAGTGCGATTTGTGGAATTGCCTTTCTGGCTATTATTGGTAAGTTTTTGGGAGTCCATAATTTTGTACTTCATACCTACCTTACTATTAAACCTCAATTTTTTTAATTTAAACATTTAGTTTTACGGTCAATGTATTTGGTATACTATAATGTGAGATTTTCTCAAATCATTGACGTTTCTATTGAGGCTGTGAATAATAATGCAGTAGAGAAAGTATAGAGAAAGGAATGTTTTCCCTCAAGACAACATCAAAATTTTATTATTCCTATAAATTACCATTACTTTTTGCAATAAAAATTATAGTTTTTGAAGTAAATCATGCCTTATAAAGCAGTGAATTACAATCCTAATAACCACCAATCAACTCTTTATAATATCGATATGCTATAATGCTCAATTTTCAAGGTTCCATTTATTATACAGAGTGTGAGCTTGAGTTATTTAAATCGATTTTCTCAAATCATTGATTTACCTTTTACCTGTCATTTAAACAGAAAATTATTAACTATATTATCGCCTACAATCAAGACATAATACCAGTAATCAAGATCAAATAGCGCATAACTTTTCCAGGCATAGATATACGAACAACAAAACAATTATTTTTTTATGTGCAAAACTATTCAGATATAACACCGGCAAAATGCAGAAAGAAAAAATCGCATTAACCTAATTAATAGCAAGTTTTACTAGATAAGTGGCGACCGTAGTGGTACCAATAGTAAACCCATATGGGTACCATGTTGAGATATATAGAAAAGTCGATTGCGTAATAGTCTCGGGCTGGTTATGCCAAGATAGGAAGTGATGAGATTGATGATATTCGAATGGGAATTTGATGAGATTGGTTTTTATGGACGAATGGAAGTGTGTCAATTTGGATATATGGCACTTTTACAAATCTTACGGCTTCCGGTTACGATATCAGTTTGTTTAGTTCAATTGAAGATATAGGTACAAGTAAAGGTATTCTTGGAAGAACTTGGAGATCCATTATCCAGCCTCCCTCTAACTCACAGTTTGATGATCTGGCATTAGCTTTTGATGTATACAAGCTGCTAGATTTCATCAAAGGGACGGAACTTGCTTACCAACCAACCATTCATCCAGCATTGTTGAAAATTCTATGAAGGTTACTAACCTTCAGATTCTTCATATGATTCCATTTTTAATACACACAGTGTATTTTATATACCGTTATCCAACATTGAACTTTGGCTTTGATACTCATGCAGTTGAAAAAAAATCATTCCGTGAATACTGATCAAACATCGGTTATTTTACATACCGCTAATACAATACACATGTGTTGACGATTTATTGTTTCTCAGTAACTGTATATATTTTAGACGCAAGCTTTCTTCCATTTTCAATGGAGGAAAATAGTTACCAAACTATCCTCGTTTATAAGAGCAGTTTTTTGATTTTCTTGGGAAGAGATTGAAACTACAAGTTGATTTCAGTGGATAATTTCAAAAGTATCATAGGCTTAATGAAAAATTCTCCTCAAAGTATCCAAAAATGAGCTGTATTTTCCATAAAAGTCGTCCATTTACTATTCTATATTAAAAGTTGAAGACTGGAGAGCAAATCTCACAAACAGATGATTATTGAAAGTCTTCGAAAACCCCTCAATTTTTATTGAAAAGTAAAGTGTTGAGGAATCATGGATCTCCTCGAATCTTCACTCCTCTTTATCAAACAGGCCCCTGAGCGTATTAGGAAATGTGTTGATAGAAGCCCATATTATAAATAAGGTCTCGTGTAATATTATATGCATTGTGTTTAGTTACTTATAATATAAACTAGATTATTTAAAACGAGTATCGCACCAGTTCTAAAGGCGGTCAAATTGCTACGATTACGAGCTCGAGACTTTGTAGAAAGTGCACCAGAGAAAGTACCTACCTATACGCACGCATTTAAATACCATTTTTATTTCTCTCTTAATATTATGCATTGCTTGGGATGCTGTGCAGTTTATTAGTTTTTAATAACTTTAAGTTATATAATAATATGTAATAATAATTTTTTATGGTTTATGAATTCGGCCTCTTTTTTGATTTTTCTTCCATTTTCCTGGAGAACTTTTTGGAAAAACGGTAGCAGGAACAATTTTCCTATGGTGTGTTTTTTCCCAATAGAAATTTTGACGTTGAAAACTTTGAAACATAAACCTATGATATAAACAACACTGTTCCTGCAAGCTGGAATCAGTTTTTGACTGTGTGAGTCACAGAACTCTTCTGAGGAAGTTAGAGGTCTACGGCTTTACTGGTGTGATCTCGAGGTGGTTCGAATCATATCTTTCACATCGCAGACAGCGTGTCACCCTGGATGGAAAGTGTTCTACTGATCGTCCGTAGGGTTCCACAGGGATCAGACCTGGGATAAATATTATTCCTCATCTATATCAATGATCTTCTCTACCTTGATATATCGGAAGTCTTCACTGCGTTCGCGGATGATTCAACGGTTGTGTGGCACGGGGGAAGTTCTGGTGAGCTGGTTCAGGTGATTTCTGGGGACATCAGGGCCATTAAGTGTTGGTGTGATGCAAATGGACTGCTTTTTAACTTTGGTAAGACTCGGGTGCTTGGGTTCCGATGTAATATTGATGATATTGATTGTAACGAATTCTCCATCAAATTCTCTCTAATTACTAAATTTCTTGGACTTCAACTTGACGTTGATCTTAAATTCCAATCGCATGTCACTGCACTTGGTAGGAAACTTGCTTCTGGCTGCTCCTGTGTCCGAACTGTGGCCACAAATTTCGATGCAACCATAGCAAAATCAGTGTATTTTGCATTGATACAATCCGACCTTTTCTATGGACTACCTTTTTGGTGCTGTTGTAGCCAATACCTGTTTCAACCAGTGTTTAAACTCCAGAACCGAGCAGTGCGCTTTATCGCTGGCGTCTCCTCAGTGGAGAACTGCAAACCCTTATTTAAAAACACTAACATCTTAACATTGCCATGTCTTTTTATACTTGAATCGGTAAGTCTCTTACATAAACACATATCTTCGTTCCCTGTACACCAAACTGCCTTTTCCACACGACAGATGCAGAATATACCGCTCCCGATTCCGCACTCTACTCTTGTGCAGAACTCAATAATTTACAACATAAGGAATTCCACCATCAAACATCAGCAACATTATCGAACCCAATATGTTATTCAATTGCCTTGACAAACTTGATTAATTAACCAATCAGCATTAGAATGAATCATTGGAAAAGAAGCAATGATTCAACATCATCTCAAACTTAAGAATATTCTACATCTTTATTTATATAACCGGCCCATCCTTTTTACACCATACATGCATTCTTAAACATTATTTTATGGTAATACGCGTCTTATACAACTCAACTTGTAATAATAATTGTAAGCCGCTTAGATGGCGGCATCAAAACACCATCTTATTTTCACACACTTTCGATTTTTAACATGAATTTCTTCAGCAAACAATTGACGATGTAAAAATTACTTTAGAAAAAAATTAGCATTATTATACCAATGAAGCTTTCCAATATATCAGTTTTGCTGAAGCGTTTATGTAAATTATTTAAAATTGTGTAAATTACCTAAATAAAATAATGAGATAATAGATAATTATTGTTAATATAAAAAGACCTCAGACAAATTCCTAGTCGAAAATCATTGAAAGTGATACCAATGTCTATGAGGAGAAGATATCATTTTTCAACACATCATGGACGGATTGGTAGAAGAGGATTGATTAAATGACCTGCCTGATTTGTCACCAGATAAATATTCTGCTTCCACCTTTTCAATGATTAAAGATACTAGATTATTTTAGAAAGTAGAGCACGATGGTTCATTGGTCGTAACCCTGAACTTTTAGCAAATCGCAGTTATTGTTAATTTTTTCAGTGTGATGGTTGCAACCATTCATCCGTAATAGTAAAAGGAAGCTGTTGGATTATCTTATAAACCTCAATAAATATCATTAATTAGTTGGTTAATAAATAGTAATTTGCACTCTGGTTTTACTTTCCAACCAAAAAAAGTTCAGTTATTGAAAAAAAATCACAAACTAAACCGCCAGTTCTCGTTCTTATGAAAGTAATTCGCGGTTCCGAGCCAAAACAATTGTCTCTTTTGGACCGAAGTCAAAGTTGAAAGTGAGAGTGTAAGAAGTAAAAGTTATGTAACGTTTCGGGCGGAACCCAAAAGGTGCCTTAAAAATGTTTGTCTTTGAATTTCTTCACAGAGGAATTTTCTCCGAACTACTAAGCTTGTGTTGCAAGAAGGTTATGCTAAATATGTTAAATGTTTAGCTACCTGTTAGGAGAGTTAAGATGGCCTAATAATTAAGAAATCTTATTCAAATCACGCAATATTGGGGTTTGTCTATTTGATTTGTAGACTTTCAGTTCACAGCAAAAGGTGTAAAGATTTTGTAGAAAAACTCCCCCTGATGAAACTCCTGCAACTTTTCTATTTATTGATTGATTTTGATTAATTAACAATTTTGAAATGAGCAGAAGACAATTGTTCTGATTATAAATAGTTGATTTAGTATTTCTTCAAAAGTTTCAAGTTACATCTTATGTCTATTCATATACAATTGTCATATTTTATTACTCAATCTTCCAGCAAATTATCTAGATCGCTGGAAACAGAATTTTCGTCTAATTAAACAAGAACAAAAGCCAACATTTTCTCAAGATTACTATCATAATGAACCAAATCATTATGAATGATGCCAGGAATATTAAATTAATAACAAAAAAACTGAAATAAATACATGTTTTGCCTTGCAACGTCTTTGCATTCACAATCAAACAAAATAAATCATTAGTAAAAGTATTTCTACTAATTAGAGCAATATTTTATTGGATTTGCTCAAGGTTAACAGAGCTATCAAAAATATATAGAAAAAAACTAAACGAATTCCCATGGTAATTTGAAACTACTTATAGACTCTTGTGTGAAAATCTAAAATCCTGAACCACAAACCCTTGTCACGGATTAAATCTATGATTTTATTCACTCCCATCATGAGAAAATTGAATGAATCATGATCTTTTTACATTAAAAATAAAGGTCAAGGATAGAGCCTTATTAATAGAACACGTATAAACTTTTTTTGCAAGTAATTAATAAGATGATGGTTTAAAATCATTTCAAGCATCCGGTAATTGGTATTTATTAATGTTATGTAACATAAACTTTGGCTTTTGATGGTTTGAATCTCTTTTTGTTGAAGGATTGGTGCAATGTCAGCAGCCTAAAGGCAACCAAGACAATCCATGTCAAACCAAAGCTAGGGTGATAGGGGATGAGACATATTGTGACAGGTAAATATTTCAATTTATTAAACTTGGGATATAATTTTTTTATAGGTATTGGGAATGTGTAAATGGCCAGCCTGAATTATACGATTGTCCAAATGGTTTAGTATACGCCGGAAAGAATAGAGGGGTTACAGAGGGTTGTGACTATCCATGGAGGTCGAATTATTGTGACGGGAAACAACAAGCAAGTAAGTATTGTCCTTCAGTTTCTTTCAGCAATCTCCTGAATATCATAACGTCACCTCTACTCTGAGTTAGATCACATGAGCTGTGGTGGTGAGTCTCCCGGAACTATTAGACACTTTGATAAAGTTTGTGAAGCTTTCGCGGCCCAGATTTATTGATAAAGTGTTTTCATTCGGGCTTAATGTCCGTCGTAAGTTGGAACTTCTTCCTGACGTTTCACTAGCATGCATGGCTAGCATCTTCAGAAGTGCTGCCATGTCAGATTCTGGTAGCAGCCTGATGCGTTTCCGACTGCAAGTTGTATTTATGTCTGAGTGGTTGGGGGAGGGGCGGGGCTTCGCAGCACGTGGCTAATCTGAACTTTCTCTGTACTCAATGGAATCTTTCTTGCATTTTTGAGGATCAAGTTCCAGATTTGGTTAAGTTTTAATGTTTCTTCTCTCCTGTCGAAGTTCTCTGTATGTTTGTGGATTTCTATAGCTTCACGTACAAGACGATTGTGGTATCTGGAAGTCGGTGCAAGAAGCTTGACCTCACCAAATAGTATTTCGTAATTCCCTTCACTAAGTGCATGTTCCGCTACTGCCATTTTGTCCGATTGTCCTGGTCTGCAGTTTCTTTTGTGCTCGTTGATCCTGGTTCTCAAAGATCTTTTTGTTGTTCCTATGTATACCTTATTACCACATGTGCATGGTATACGATAGATTCCAGCGCTTGACAGTGGGTCCTGGGCTAATCTGATTGATTGCAGTAATTTCCTTGTTGGCTTGAAAATCGTTTTTATATTGTGTTTCTTCAAGACTTTCCCTATCCTGCCTGCCACCCGAGAAATGAAAGGCAGATATGCATTAGCCACCACTGGTTGTTCATCCACGGTTTGTCGTTACGCCATTTTGGGTCGCATGGCCCTGTCGATTTCAGATGCATTGTATTCATTTGATAGAAAGGCCGACTTGAAGTTGATGGTACTCAATACCGTCTTTCTCTCTCTATACTTATAATTTTTCATGAGTCCTCTTCGGATCAGCTTTCATGGGCAGTAGATCAAGGCCCCATTAGAGTGATGAGATGATTCACAGAAACTGAAAACCGGTGCCTTTCAGGATTACCGGATAATACCAACACCACGACTCCGAAGGAGGAGTGGTCTTGCTGGTAACGCGTTGAGTGTCAGGTAAAAGTATTAGGTAATCCTGAAACATCGAGTGGTATTCAAAAGCTTATACAACGAACTAAACTTTAATACACCAAACGTGATAATCCCAAAAGGCTTATCACTTCTTAGGCCTCTCGTGTCATATGGGAATAATGTACAGTGAGTTGTATAATCGAATGTAATACCACAAGAGGTTTCAGGATTACCGGATAATACATTTACCTGTAACGAAACGCGTTACGCAGTAACACCACGACTTCGAAGGAGGAGCGGTGTTGCTGGTAACGCGTTCAGTTTCAGGTAAAAGTATTAGGTAATCCTGAAACATCGAGTGATATTCAAAAGGTTATACAACGAACTAAACTTTAATACACGATGCGCGATAATCCCAAAAGGCTTATCACTTGTTAAGCCTCTCGTGTCATATATGGGAATAATGTAAAGTGAGTTGTCTAACTTTAATACACCAAGTGCGATAATCCTAAAAGGCTTATCACTCATTATAAGCCTCTCGTGTCATATGGAAATAATGTACACTGAGTTGTATAATCGAATGTAATACCACAAGAAGTTTCAGGATTACCGGATAATACTTTTACCTGTCATGAAACGCGTGACGCAGCAACACCACGACTCCGAAGGAGGAGTGGTGGCTGGTAACGCGTTGAGTGTTAGGTAAAAGTATTAGGTAATCCTGAAACATCGAGTGGTATTCAAAAGGTTATACAACGAACTAAACTTTTAATACACCAAGCGCGATAATCCCAAAAGGCTTATCACTTATTAAGCCCCTCTGCTTATTCATATCTATCATTTCGTTTCCTCCAGCAATCTCCTGGATATCATAACGTCACTTCTGCTCTGGATCAGATCAGTGGTGGGTCCGGGAACTACTAGACATTTTGGTGATGTTACCCAACACCGACTTCCTCTCTCTACCCATCGTCTCCTTCAAATCACCTTCCATGGTTGTTGACAGCAACAACTCAAACTGTCTTTACAAGAGCAACAAAAAACTTTTCCAGAAATATTGCGTGCGACATCGGAAACTACTGGGAGGAGGTCCAGAGTGAGACCAACATCTCAACAACTCAGCAAGACTATGGGTGTCCTCAACAACGTGAGATACCTATTATTTTTTGGATAAATGATGTTATATTTTTTAGGAGAGGTCTTAACTTTCCAAGAAAACCCATTTTAGTATAATGTGTTTATCTGTAAAAATAAAAAACTTCATGACGCTAATGATTGTGATATTTTTTTAGATCCACCAATTGGTACCGATCATTGCGGATGGCTGTATGGAATCTTTGGACACGAAACTTCCTGTACCAGATACTGGACCTGTTGGAACGGAACTGCCACAGAACAACTTTGTATCGGTGGATTGTTATACAACGAGCGCACCCATTCATGTGATTGGCCCGAAAATGTTGATGGGTGCCAAAAACATCGTAAGTGTTCTCCTAATCTATTAGTTCCATTAAATTCAAATTCCATTGTCTAGCATTGTGTAATGACGACCCCAATGGCAACGTACCTCTTGGAAAATCCTGCAACAGATACTGGCAATGCCAAGGAGGTTACCCAAGACTGCAAAGGTGTCCAGCGATGTTGGTCTTTGACAGAAGATCATTAAGGTATGCTTGAAAAATTGATAAAACAAATTATTATATTGGTTTTATTTAGATGCCAAGTTCCTCCAACTGAAGATTGTGACATTCCCAGCACCCTTCCACCGCCAGTCGAAGAAGATGAATACGAACAAAACATCCCTCAAAACAATCCTAAAAATAGAGAGAGCAACTTCCAAAATTTACCACCAGGAGCCATTCCAATTCCAGTGAAAGGAAAAGCGGCAAAGAATTAAACAACTAATTTTAGGATTTTAAATTATTCAAATTTCTTTTAGATTCGAAGAAAAGTATTAGGTACAAGATATAATAATATAATAAATTATTATTTTTTATCTAGTACATTATAATTGGAAGAAATAGTTGTCCAAAACAAGACTTAATAATGATAATTACAAGTGGAATTCTATTACATTTTTAATAAATTAATTTAATAACTAAAAACTTTCACTACAGATGCAATAATCCTTTCTCTTGTTGTGCTTTTCACCGTTAGTGGTGTAATAACAGATATAAAATTCATCATATTCTGTTTTCTTTTGATTTTTTTATCCCAAATTTCATTCGTGCCAGTATTATTTTGTCTGTATTTTTGAAAGATCTTTGCCTACTTTTTTTATTAAGTTTAAGTTAGTTTAAGCTGTCTTTGGTCTGTAAATTCAAATAGGTGTCTATTTGGTATTGTTAATAAAACTTCTTTTTTTTTTAAATATTTCTTTATTTCTTTAGTTGATCAGGAAATATATTTTCTAGGAGGAAATTTTCGAAGATTCTCTTGTACCTACAAAGAGACACATGCATGATTTTTACTAGATGTGGTTTTAAGAAGAATATACTTACCAGCCATTGGAAGCAGTATTTATCATGTTCACGTAGTATGTTGGACAAGTATTTTGGCACATAATGGCATTGTGAAATAATAGGCTATGTGCCAACATGTACACCAACTGTTGAGGTAAAAATTTGTTTTCTATTTCCAATGTTTTGAGCGTCCTGTTGTAAAACATCTAAAAATTTATCCTCTTTTGGAAAACCTATTATAAAAATTGATAATAATACATACCTGTAATATCGTTGTTATACCTACTGTCAGTATTTGGAAATTTGGCGATATAGAATAGGTGGTGCCAGCAACAAGACCAGCAATTGCTCCAAAATATTTCTGTTTAAATCCTTTATTGTTTAACAAATAGCAAATAATGTACTAAAAAATTAAAGTTAGTCAATAAATTTTACGAGAATGTTGATATTATATACCCTGTAAATTCCTACATAAGCTCCAAGAAAAACACCAAATCTAAGATTGTCCTCATTTGCCATTATTTTAAACAGCGTAGATGGTTTTCTGTAAACTGTTAACATCTTGGGGATTAGTTTCTTAACTATACTAAAAGCGTAACCTAATAGAAAATATTTTTGGGCTCCCTAGAAAGCAAATTTAAAATAAAACTTCAGAATCCTTTAACAAACTTACCTTAAGGGCAAAATCTGAGCAACTGGAGCTGTGATCACACTTTTGTACAGATATTTCTGGACTATTTTCTACTTCTTTGGTTTTGAAGGTATGTGGAGTATAAAACCTATAAAAATTGTGATAGAAACAAAGTATTTGCACATACAGACCGGACCAACCTACTACAAACATAGGGTGTAATAAGTCGGATTCACTTGTAACTTGCAGTAAAATGGTCACCTGGTCCCATTGAAGTCTATGTTTCCAGTAGCCTGGTCCTGTCTGTATACAGGGTGTTACAAATTCAGGAGAAGTATGGGGATATCGGTAATTATAGGAGATACAGAATCGGTTAAATTGAAGCAAAGTTAAGCAATTTCTTGCTCATCAAAATACCGTTTCAGAAAATTCTGGATACTTCCAGAGATATTCGGAAAAAATGTCACTTCATCGTTGCCACTTTTTCTTCTCTATAATATGGCCTTATCAGACTTGAAATCCGACGTTCCGTCTTTGGACCACTATCATCAACCTAAATTTTTTGAATACGGCTCTAGACCTAACATTATTTGCAAGAGAAGAGAAAAATCAAAAAAGTATATAAAATTTTTTGGTTCTGAATTTTTTTTGAATCATGACAACGTTAAGAAAAATTGTCAATTCATATTTCCATAAAAATTTAAATAAATCAAAACATTATATTATGTATGTATGTACAGGATGTTTTTTTATATATTGACACCCCACCTACAGCCTTTACCTTTACAGGTAGATGAAAGGTGTAAATACAAAAGTTGTTCAGTATTGGCTAAATTTTTAGAATCCATGGTCAGAAATTTTTTATGCTTTCAGCTTTTGTCAAATGGGATGCGCAATATTTGGTTCTATACTCTTGAAGAGCACAATTTCCCGATTCCAAAACTATATAGTTTGTCTGTATTTGGTTGAGCCGTCTCCAACATATTTGATTCTAAAAATTTTGAAAATACTATCAGAGAAAGCAAGTATACCTCAAATTTAACTTATAGCTTTCACCTGTACAGGTAGATTGGTTCACAAAATCAGTAGTAGGATAGTATTTTTACAATTTTTGGAGCCGAATGTATGAGAGATTGCTCAATGAAATATAGATCGAGGCATTGTGCTCTTCAAGAATATAGAATGAAATAGGGCATCCCATTTGAAAAAAGCTGGAAGCATTACAAGAGTGAATTATTAAGGAACTTATGGGTGGACCTCTGCGGGACGAGCGCAGCGAGTTCCGCAGCCATCTACTCCCCAATATACTGTTGAACTGTTCAAGTAAGACACTCACCTGAAACGTGTAGTTTTTGAACTAATGAGAAAAATTCACAACTGAGTGAATCAGGTAAGTATTGTACTTGAACAACATATTGGTGAATAGATGGCTGAGTCCACCCATAAGTTCCGCAACAATCCATCGTTTGTACTTGAATAACTTGTCACATTATATTACTAGTTTGGTAAAGTAACATTACGAATTCCTGTTAAAAGGCAAATTGACAAAAAGTGAATAATCATAATCTTACAAATTTTGACTTTATATAATAAGTTATTGTTCAAGTACAAATAAAGAAATTGTTACGGAATTTTTGGGTGGATCTCTGCGGGACGAGCGCAGCACGTTCCGCAGCCATCTACTCACCAATATACTGTTGAACTACTGTTCAATTAAGACACTCACCTGAAACGTGTAATTTTTAAACTAATGAGAATAACTCACATTTGAGTGAGTCAGGTTAGTATCGTATTTACACAACATATTGATGAATAGATGGCTGCGGAACTCGCTGCGCTCGTCCCCCAGAGATCCAATCATTAGTTCCGCAACAATCCACTCGTTTGTACTTAAATAATTTGTCACATTATATTACTAGTTTGGTAAAGTAACATTACCAATTCCTGTTGAAAGGTAAATTGACAAAAAGTGGATAATCTTACACATTTTGATTTTATATAATAAGTTATTGTTCAAGTTCAAATAAGTGGATTATTGCAGAACTAATGGGTGGACCTCCCTATTTTCCATGAACAGCTACAGCTGAAATCTTTGATTCAATACTATCTCTCACTGATTTCAAGAGATTGACCTTGTATCCCGTATGATTACCGGCGAAACCCCATGCTTACTTACAAATTTGTAACAACCTGTATATTTTTCATATTTCAGGTGATTGGGATGAGTAAATTCAGCCTGAATATGTGTAGTAAAAAAATCATAAGCTCACCAGAAGTTCGTATAATTTTCATTTTTATCACGGTTTTGTAAAAGATGCATCAAAACACTGCTCACACCCATAAACAAAAGGGTTTCCCTCCTATTATTAAGTTTGAATATATCAAATTCATTTAGATTTTTAAACACAGCCTCCACCAACTAGAATATTAATTAGTAGATATAAAAAACCAATTTGTATTATTTCTTACCACAGTGAAAAATATTAAAGTGTCCAGCAAATGGTTTTCTTTAGTTTCTATCAATAATCCTAGCCCCGATATGAGTCCCGAGACTAAGCCCAAGTTGTAGTAATGCAATTGTCCTGTTACTTTACTAAAATTGTATAAAAATTTCAATAAAAATTAATATACAAAATAATAAAATTTTCGCACTATAGAATGCAATTTCCACCTAAAAATAGTATTGCTAGTGAGGAACCATAGAATGCCGATCTTGCTTCTTCAATTAAAAGTTTTTTCAAATAAGCTTTGTCTTTGCATTTATTATGATTGAGTAGAGCTTTAATCTGAAAACTAAAGTATTAGTGGAAGAATGGACCCAGGATAAAAATCTTATGAAATGAGATTAAGTGGATAGTGAAGTAAGTAAATATAATGTAATATAAAAATGTCATCATATTAGGGTTAAAATTAGGTATAGGTACTCAAATATCACGATAAAAATTAGATAATATGACTTGGTTGTCGCAACTTCAAGAAAAGATAGAAAGCTGAACAGTTTTATACTTAGGGCCAGTATTTCAATGTCACCTTGAAATCAAGACTTAGCTAAAGTACCCTTAATGTTGAGGTGAACCTGAAATCAGTTCATTCAAATGGCTTAAGATCTTGGATCTTAAGATACACTTTGAATTAAGGGAACTTTGATATACAGTGACACTTGTATTAAGGATGACTTAACGTTATTCTATACCTTAAGGTAACATTGAAATACTGGCCCTTAGTCGGTCAAACGACGGACAGTGGATTTGAGAAAATGACTGTTTTCCAGACGAAGACGTACGTTAAATTTGGTCTAAATTTCAGTCAACAAATTGCTATACTTGGGATATTGCCAAAATTCTTGTTAGGTATGCAAGTATATAAGTTATTATAAAGTAAGTTATTGTGCTTAGAGGAATTAACTAGTGATTTTTTAACTTGAAATGAAAATGAGGGTGTAAAAGTGGTAGATACCTTAAGTATACTTACAATATAAATTGGCAAATAAAATTTCATTGACCCCCAAAACGCTTCCTTTGCAATATATAGATTAGCTTGCATACAACTTTCATTCCAGTAATGTAAATGTTTGCAACTTAAATCTGTGCCGATATTTTGATAAAATAAATGTTTACTTATCAAAGACATTTTCCGCGGAATATTATCAAGTACTGGTCGATGAAGGCGAACAATTACAAATAAAAAGGCATAATAATTGTCGTTGAACTATATCGGTGTGTTCTTGAATTAATAATAAGGTTAAAGTTTGCCTCTAATTAAAAGTACGATATCTACCTTCCAACCTATTATCGTCTATTATTTCATAAAAAAATTGTCGTTAAATCGAAATTACACGTGCTGTGTATATTACTTTTTTTTACTTAAAATACATGAAAATTTAATGTTTTAATGCTCTATAGTAGTTGTTATCACCTATATATACGTGTGCTATCGTACTTAATACCTAATTGGAAAGTACTAAAAAATATTCCTAGAATTTTTTTCAAAAATAACTGGCATATTCATCAAATATAATATAGTGACTTGCACGTAAACGTTGGTTGGTCCAAGAAAATAGAAAAGTAGGTGCAGTATCATCATGTTTAATAATGAGGCTTATTAAAATATCCATGCACACTGGCAAAATTAGGGGAATTGACAAAATTTACACTAAGTTTGACATAAATTTTCTCTTGATCCCTCCGCTCGATTTCGATGAAGTTTTTGATTCTTCAGGAATACATCTGACGCATTGTACCGTTATTAAATGATTCGTCTTTGTATCATATTATACAAGAATGGAGAGACAGTCAGTAATTTTCACAGTTTTTTGAGACACCCTGTGGAGTGAACCATTGGAAATTCAGAACAGTGTTCAACACCAAATTGTAGCCTGAACTTTTCCGAACATTTTCATTTTTTTTTCATTCTGATATTTTGACATGTTAGGAAAATCAAAATCCACGATCTATCGTAATGTAAGACGTTGGAGGCAAACGAGAAAGTATGTGAGGAGACGGGGCTGGGACATGTTGGGTAGACGATTAAGGATTAAGGTCCAGAATTCCTACAGTTCAAAATCGCGAACAAGCAGCACCTGCTCTGGTTTAAACCAAGGTTCCTAGAGTTGATATGTTGCCTGGTAATGGGTAACTTGATGACGCATCTGGGGTGCCTTATGGAGATTTGCATTATGTTGAGGCACACCAGATGACGTCATAAAGTTATCAGACAACTTACCTCTCTCAAACAACCTTGATCTGGGACTATCTGCCCCAAGAGATGATTGATGATGTCATCAGAAGCATGACGAGACTGGTCCGCTGGTTGCATCCTACCGATGTGACCAGGTCTGTTGAAGGGTAAATTGAAAAAGTCCTAAGCCTTGGTTAAGTGTGAAAGGAGAGTTTAGTTTAGATAAATAACATTCCAATAAATGGAAATAATGAAAGAGACTTTCTGATCCCCCTTTATATATGTGAGTATTCTTTTCACAATAAATTTCATATCCAATTCGTATGTCGACGTGGAGAAAATAGAGGTCAATATTCACCTTTTCTTCGAAGCTCCGTATTTTCAATAATATTGAAAGTATCAGAGTGAATAAAAAATTTAAATGTTCGGAAAAGATCAGGCTACAATTTGGTGTTGAAAACTGTTCTGAATTTCCAGTAGTTCACTCCACAGGGTGTCTCAAAAAACTCTGAAAATTACTGACTTCTTTCCATCCCTGTATAGGATATGAAGATGAATAATTTATTAACGGTAATACGTCAGATATATTCCTGAAGAATCAAGCTACAATCTATGAAAAATTCATCAAAATCGAGCGGAGGGTTCAAGAGAAAATTGATATTAACTTTGTCCGTTCTCCTAATTTTGCCAGTTTGTGTATTAGTATTTCCTTTGAACAAAAAATTACACTAGACTATATTTATTAGCAATATTAAAAAACGAAAAAATTATCATACGTATAATATAATATTATTTAACAAATGCTCATTTTATTCGAACGGGCAAAACTTCCTTAATCAACTTCCTCAACTTTAGGACCTCCTTGCCCGCCCTGAGCAGCGCCACCGCCTTGATGTAACTTCATCATAACAGGCTGACACTCCTTTTGCAATTCTTTCAGTTTATCCTCATATTCGTCTTTTTCGGCCAGCTGATTGTTGTCCAACCATTGAAGAGCAGCCGAACATTTATCTTCAACCAGCTTTTTGTCAGCTTCGGGTAGTTTGTCAGATGGAACATTTTCTACAGCCTAAAACAATTTAATGTAAAATTGTTGTTCCATTATACTGTACCTACTCACTTGTTTAGCACTGAAAATGTATCCTTCCAATTGATTTCTAGCTGTAATTCTTAATTTTTGCTTTTCATCCTCGGACGCGTATTTTTCAGCATCAGCCAACATTTTATCGATTTCGGCTTTAGAAAGACGCCCTTTATCGTTTGTAATGGTAATTTTTTCGGATCTATTTGTGCTGGTATCTCTAGCAGATACATTCAAAATGCCTATAATAATAATTAAACTCAATAAAATTTTCATAAATACTTCAACCTCATACCGTTTGCATCAAGATCGAAAGTAACTTCAATTTTAGGCACACCTCGCGGAGCGGGAGGTATACTAGTTAAATTGAAAGTTCCCAAAAGGTTATTATCTTTCGTCATAGCCCTTTCACCTTCAAACACCTGAATCGTAACTGCATTTTGATTATCAGAATAAGTAGTAAAGGTTTGCTGTTGCTTGCAAGGAATTCTAGAGTTTCTTTCCACAAGTTTGGTCATAACACCTCCGGCAGTTTCGATACCCAAAGAAAGAGGAGCCACGTCTACCAAAAGAACATCCTGAATTTTAGATGAAGTATCACCACTCAGAATGGCAGCTTGAACAGCTGCCCCATAAGCTACAGCTTCATCTGGATTGATGCTAAGATTCAAAGTTTTACCACAGAAGAAATCTTGAAGCATTTTTTGTATTTTCGGAATTCTTATGGAACCACCAACTAAAACAACATCATGAATTGCTGCTTTATCAAGCTTGGCATCATTTAAAGATTTTTCAACAGGCAATAAGGTGGATCTGAATAAATCCATACAAAGTTCTTCAAATCGAGCTCTGGTGATTTTCGAGTAGAAATCTACACCATCGTGAAGAGCATCAATTTCCAAACTGGCTTCTGTAGATGAGGATAGTGTTCTCTTTGCCCTAAAATAATTAATAAGGTGTTTGTATAATGAGAAAATATTATTTTAATTAACCTTTCGCAAGCAGTTCTCAATCTTCTCAACGCTCTTGTATTGGTGCTCAGATCTTTTTTGAATTTCCTTTTAAATTCTTCAACAAAGTGGTTTACCAGACGGTTGTCGAAATCCTCTCCACCAAGATGAGTATCGCCAGCAGTTGATCTTACTTGGAACAAAGAACCTTAAAAAAATATATAGGTAAAAACTGACTATAGGTTGGAGCTCTGGGTCTACCTTCATCAATTGACAAAATAGAAACATCAAAAGTTCCACCGCCCAAATCGAAAATTAGAACATTCTTTTCCCCTTTCAAATTTTTGTCCAATCCATAAGCCAAAGCAGCTGCAGTAGGTTCATTAATAATTCTTAAAACATTTACTCCAGCAATAACCCCGGCGTCTTTAGTGGCTTGCCTTTGGGAGTCATTGAAGTAAGCGGGTACCGTGATGACAGCATCAGTTACTCGGCCTCCCAAAAAAGTTTCAGCTATCTCCTTCATCTTGGTCAAAACCATCGAGCTGACTTCTTCGGGGGCGAATTTTTTCACTTCGCCTTTGTATTCGACTTGAATTTTGGGCTTGCCTCCGTCATTGACCACGGTAAAGGACCAATGTTTCATGTCCTGTTGGATTTTTTCGTCGTCGAATTTACGACCGATCAGACGTTTGGCGTCGAAGACGGTGTTTTTTGGATTCATTGCCACCTAAAGAAGAATAAATAGGCTGGGATATAATTTTATTGGCAATAATTAACGATGATAAGTCGATTAGCATATTATTTAGCACATCTTCAAAATTCCCAATATAGCAAATAAAACCTCGAGTTACCATGAAAAGTGCCAATTAATGATTTAATGGTAATAATAATTGTGCATAATGTACTCGTTAAAGGCCTTGCAAAATGGTAAAACCTTATTCGGAATCATTGACATTTTTTTTTGCCTTTTTTGGTATAAGCATAAAATTGAACATATGTTGGCCAGTTTATATAATAATTGTTTTGATAGACCGCAAAGAGAAAGGCTGCAGAAGAGCATGCCAAACATTATACCAGAATGTTGTATGTACTCATTTTTTGGTTTTGGTAATATTTGATTTGATTCATGACACAATCTAGCCAATTTTTTTTTTACAAATGAATCATCAATTCCCAAATTATTTCCATAACCATATTTGATCGTAACGGTATCAACAGTTCAACATACACCAACTTAAAATATACGTGCGTGTGAAGTAAGCCTCCCACAAACAAAATTGAATTTTTTCAATGAACCAAAATTATTATTATATTGGAAGATATTTTTAGAGTGTTTAAAAATATTCGAGAAATCTCGGAAAACCATATGATATTTAGATTGAAAGTTTGCCAGAGAGAAAACAGATGCTTGTTTATTGAATTAAATCTAATAACCCAATTAAATATTATTTAAATAATCTTCAACTGAAACAATTCTTACTTGGCTCTTGGCAGCATCTCCAATCAACCTTTCCGTATCGGTGAAGGCGACATAACTTGGGGTAGTCCTGTTTCCTTGATCATTGGCGATGATTTCCACTTTTCCATGTTGCCACACTCCTACACAGGAATATGTGGTTCCCAAGTCGATACCAATTGCTGGAGTTTTGCCCATTTTGTATTTACGCACCTAGAAAAAAAGTGAGTAATCACAAAATTAAAATTTCGTTTTCAATTTGGCAGTTAGAATATAAATAGGTGAGAGTGACAGTGACAGTGACAATACAGTAATTTTTGCTCATGTTCTCTTCACTGTATTTCGATTAAAAGTTTTCCTTCCTTTCTGACACCTTCTTCTTCTTTAAGATCCAAAATGGTTTTGTATCCGACAGCTTGTAATGAAGCAACTTTAACTGAGTTTTCTTCAGGTTTTGGTTCTCAGTTCCATGCTTTTGTTTCCTAAGTTTCACATTTTCTTTAGAGTCTTATCTTCAACTGGTTGCTCTGAAATAATTTCACCTTGCACTCAAACTTTGACCCCTGTTCTACAAATCTTGGCTTCTAATATTCCATTATCTTTTTTGTTTCTATACTTCCTTCCAAGTGTATATACAATTTGAAGTGTGTGATACAACAGCAATACTTTATAGGCTGGTCTTCAGCTTTCTGCTTTGTTCTCCATGTTTTGGTCGATTCACTTGCTTCAAGTTTCAACAATAGTTTCTTGTTGTTTCAAAAAGTCTTGAGGGTTTTTAGCTCCACGTTAACTCAAGTTGCTCTTTAAAAATTTGCTTTCTTCTTGTTTTACTCTCTCAAATTCAATTTTTTTCCGTCGAGTTTAAAAAATATGAGGCCGTTCCATTACCTCTGAACAAAATGCCGTGGCAATATTTTTTAAACGAAAAATTTGTTTATAGGCATCCAAAATTGGGCTGATAATGATAAGGCATAATGAAGGGGTGTTGAATTGATTATCTACCATAAAGGCAGTAGGAAATTGACTAAAAAAATTGAGTAGTCCTCAATCAAAATTAGAAAAATGATTGGCAAAATTTCTGACGAATTGGCATGGATGTTAGGAAAGTTACAAATTTGAATTTTCAATTAGTATAAATAAATATTAGCTGATGCCAAATAATTAGATTAAAGTCACTTAAAAATGTTTAATTATTGCCTTACCTTATATCTTTTCTTACACAACCACTTAACTGAAAAGTTTCAAACACTTTTCCACCTAAATATTCTCAGCACGCGATATGTCCGAAGTATTCAGAAATAGAATTGATACAGCGAGTGATACTTGCTGCCTTGGCCAGTCTTCGACTCCCACTTGTATTTTTCAAAACATTGTAATTTAAAGTATCTTGTATCTGTATCGTTGCCTTTTTTGTATCTATGATTAATTCTTTTTAATTTGGTTGTTTTGGTAGTAGGGGTTAATGGGCTTGAAAACTGGTTTATTGGATCATTGTACGTTATTACTTGCGATTGATTTACATAGGTAGGTAGTACTCATTTGATTGGGCTAAATTCTAATTTCTAGAAGATATACTATCTTCAATATGTTTCTGCCTCAACTTCCAGGAGAGTTTTAAATGCATGATTTGCAACTATTCCTACAGTAATTATGGATAGTCATTGTTCATTCACTATACTACCGTTATACTTTCTAAGCTACAATTATATATTTTAGCTCTATCAAAATTGCTCTACAATTTTACAAGAAGAACTCTTAGGTTTACAGTAAGTGGTTTCCAAACAAAGAAAAGCAAATAAATTGTCTTTTGAAAGCGAATTTCAAATTTGAAACCTTCATGTAGAAGAAAGTAAGCTGTCAATTTTTCTAGCTCTATCAATACTCTATAATTTTACAAGGATATATATAGCTCTTCTGTAGCTCTAACAGTTTTTGAATTAAAGGCAACCAAGCAAGAGCCAATTTCAACTTTGAAGACTCTTTAGAAGAAACTGTGCTCTATCATTTCTCGTCAAGGCGGCTATTTCTGAACATGCACAGCTAGAAAATGGTATATGGACTTTTAAATATACGCATTAAAGATAAAGTTCAACGAGATCAAATAAAAACTTTCAAGGATCTCATATATAGTTATCATCAAGTATCAGTCAAACCATCTGATCGAGACAAAACTGGTTTAATTTGTCCTTTTGGGACTTTTAAATATACAAGGATGCTATTTGGACTACGAAATGCTCCGTCCACATTTCAAAGACTAATTTTATAATTATTTTATCAAGTTCATTTGAACTTCATGTTAGTGATTTACAAAAAGTTTTGGATCGCTTAAAATTATTCAAACTTCTGTTAAACCGTTCGAAATGCAAAATTTCTTGTTTTTCTGTTAATTACCTCGGTCATTTAATAACTTCTTCTGGTATTGCTACTATACCGTTATGTCCCTGAATTAGATGAAGATGAAGTTCAAACAAGTAGTACCGAAATCCCAAGTTCCTTAAATCCTTGCCTAGTACCCCGATTTTTCATAAGCTGGCCATTATGGTGTAGAACGTACTTATCAAAGAACTGCAAGTCGTTTCTTTTGGCCTTGAATGAGAAGAACCATATCTGATTATGTTAGTAAATGTGTAGACTGCCAACGTTATAAAGCTACAAATCTTAAACCTGCAGGACAAATGCAGACTCCTATTCAAAGACAGCGTTTCTATCGATTTATTTGGACCATTACCTGAATCGCACGATTATTACAAATGGATTTTCATAGTAGAAGATACTACAAGTAGATGGATAGAACTTTTTCCATTGACGGCAGCGTCCGCTGAAAATTGTGCTCGTTGCTTATTAGATGAAGTTATATTTAGAGATGACGTTCCCAAACGTAGTTATAATAATAAGTCATAATGGTTCCTATCAGTTTGTAAGTGCAATAATGCAACAAGTTGCATATTGCCTAGGATTCGACAGAATTTTAATTCTCATATACCACCTAGAAGCTACTGAACGGAAAAATCGAGATCTAAAGCCTCAGCTTTCCATACTTGTTGGTAATGACCATACAAAATGGAGAGAAAAACTTCCAGCAGTCCGTTTTTCGATGAATTCTCAAGCTAAATGTTATTCCGCTGCTTACCTCACTTTTGGAAGAGAGTCAAAAACCCCTGATGATGTAAATAGAGATCTTAGAAGCATTGTGGAAAATTACAATTTTGTGTGTGAAATTACTCCTTAGGTACCTGAAATCTTTACCTACCATTCTTCGTCAAGCCAGAGATGTACATGAAATTCAACAAGATAAATCTAAGAAATATGCTGACAAGAACAGAAGAGAAGCACCTATATTCCAGTGTGGTGAAAAAATTCTTGTTGATAGTCACTGCCTTAGTAATGCTAAATATTTTTTCCAACTAAATTTGTTCCAAAAAGAGATGGCCCATATCAAATTATTGAAATGGTATCCCCAACTATTTACTTATGAGATTGCATCACTAAATGATTCACAAAAAGTACTCGGAAAATATCATAAATAAATCCGACGATAAAGTTTATCCACCAATGAGAAAACGTGGTAGACCCCGTAAAGTTATAATTGAAGATGGTGAATTTGAAAGTGATTTAAGTGATAATGTTTGAGGACCATTATCCCTGCTGTATTTTTATTTATTTATTATTATTATTTTTATTTTTTCTTTGTTACTCCATTTACGGAACGTTTCATGGCGTACAGGGGGAGTAATGTAACAAAAATACCTTTACTAGGTACCTGTTTTTACCAGTCATTCTTTGTACAGGTTTTTTTAATAATGTCAGGGCGAGTTCTCATGAGCGTAAGTTGACATTTCTGGCGTAATCATGTGATAATATGGTGTAATTTGATTGGTAAAATATCCAGCATGGCGAATATTTTACCAATAAAACCCATACATTTTATCACGTGATTACGCCAGAAATGTCAACTTACGCTCATGAGAATTCGCCCTCAGGTCTATGAATGTCAGTGTGTATTAAAATTTTATCAATTTACCACATTATTTCTAATTTTGTAGTCGCTTTTGCTCGATATATTTCTGAATCGATATCCTGCACATGCGTTTTCTGGGCAATTCAGACACTGGGAAGATTTGTAGGGATGCTTGTTCAAGGGATGATTTATCATCCCTCAAAAGGAAAATTCCTTGCCAGCCGTCAAACTTAGGAAAATCATTCCTCGTATAAAAAAATATTGAAAATTTCATATTTTCTTATTTTTTCTTCAGACACCTAGATGGTGTTTCACGTTCAAATTTGAAAATATGCTTGTTCAAGGGATACTTTATCATCCCTCAAAAGGAAAATTCCTTGCCAGCCGTCAAACTTAAGAAAATCATCCCTCGTATGAAAAAATATTGAAAATTTCATATTTTCTTATTTTTTCTTCAGACACCTAGATGGTGTATAGATAGAAGAAACAAACACCATATAGAACGTAGAAGATTCCAATCCCCACTATAAGTTGTTAATTTTTCTAACTCTATCATTGCTTCAGGATATAGCTTTAATAGTTTTTGAGTTAAAGGCTACCAAGCAAAAGTAAAGAGTCTTTTGAAAGCAAATTTCAACTTCGAAGTCTCTTTAGAAGAAACTGTGCTCTATTTTTTTTAGTGTGCCGGACTTCGAGGCACATAAACATATGGCCCTAGATGCTCCCTGAAGAAGTTATAGCCCTTCAAACGGCAAATGAAAATAATAGATGTTATTTATTTTCAAGAACAGTGGCAAACAATTTTCCTTGAAATTTGGTATTCTTGCATACATTTCGATGCCAAAGCGAATGGTGATAGTAAAAAAACTCGTAACAGTTCTGAAAGGGTAGTTTCCGTAAGCTTAGAGGGTAGTTACTCACAAAACAAAAAAGCATCTTAGGGCTTTTTTTTCTTATTTTTATGTGTAGTATCATCCCTCAAAGTATGGTACACTATTCTTTTTACACCCTGTATCCCTCAAGGCTCTACATACAATTTTACGAAAAATGCTCTTTTATCTAGCTTCAATAGATTTTGAAATAGAGGCCTCCAAACAAATAGAAGCAACCAATAAAATCTATTTTGAAGGTAAATTTCAATTTTCAAGCCTTCATGTGGAAAAACGTGAGTTGTTCATTTTTTGTAGCTCCTATCAACGCTCCACAATTTTACAAGCATATAGCTCTTCTGTAGCTTAAATAGTTTTTGCGTTAAAGGCTACCAAGCAAAAATAAACAGTCTTTTGGAAGCAAATTTCTACTATGATGACTCTTTAGAAGAACTGTGCTCTTTTATTTTTCGTCAAAAATTATATATTGTATTCATCCCTCTCAATGCTCTACATACAATTTTTTAAAAAGAGCTCTTTTCTCTAGCTTCAATAGTTTCAAAGTTAGAGGCCTCCAAACAAAGAGAAACAACCAATAAAATACCTATATATCGAAAATAAATTTCAAATTTGAAGCCTTCATGTAGAAGAAAGTAAATTTTCAAATTCTCTAGTATCATCGCTCTACAATTTTACAAGGATAACTTTTCTGTAGCTCTAATAGTTTTTGAGTTAAAGGCTACCAAGCAAAAGTAGAGAGTCTTTTGGGAGCAAATGTCAACTTTGAAAAAACTGGTGCTCCTAATTATTTTTCATCAAAAATTATGTATTGTATCTCTATTAATGCTCTACATACAATTTCACAAAAAGAGCTCTTTCCTCTAGTTTAGGTAAATTTAAAATTTGAATCCTCTAGCAAAAGAAAGTAGGTAGGTATATAGTAAAAATTATCAAATATAGAGGCGTCTAAACTCTAAAAGATAACATACTAAGATGCTATACCTATTAAGTATGATTTTTTTAAGGACTTTAAATTACTAGATTTTAGATTGAACATGGAAATATTTATGTACCTACTCTTATAATCTTGCTTCTATAATGTTCTGCCTCTTTTTTCCTTATTGAATTTCGTTCAAGAAATATAAATGAACATCAGCCAATTAAATCAATTGAGCACAACTACTATTTGTGCTGTAAGTTACCATGGAAAAGTAATCTTGGTTTCATCGATAAAACACTGGAACTGAAACAAACAAGCTATTGTAGCAAATTTAGTTGAAGCGATTATGCCAAAAGGTAAAAAGAAAAAACCGAAAAATAATAAAAATGGCGATAAAAACAAGAAGAAAGGCGGTGGGAAACCGAAAAAGGGGACTGGAAAGAAAGCAAGATCTAAAAGTGCAAGGTATGAGTTAACGTCAATGAAATATGAATAAAAAGTTCAATGATTCCTATTTTCTCACAGATGTAATGTGGATATTTTTACGGAAGCGGCAATGGAAAATGCTTACACCACTTGCCACAATGTCCAAGATTTACTACGCTGGAGGGGATTTCCTTGGCCTGATGCACAGAAAAAGAAAAAGAAGGGAAAGAAATAGAGTATTAATATATCACTAGCACCTAGGTGCTAATCAGTATTTTTTTTCAAATAGCCACTTAAATTTAATGAATATATAATAAAGCGAGAAAAAGGTTGAAGTTTTATTTTGAAATTAAAGGAGTAAGGAAATCAAATCAAGAGCCGGAAATAGTTCATATTTTAATTATTACCGGCTCTTGAATCAAGACTAAAAAATTTTACTTAGAGGAACTCAAGAGTCACTGTTGAATTATATAGGAAATCAAGAGCAGAAAACATTTGAGATTTTGATTATTACTAGCTCTTTGAATCACTGGAATTAATTACCAATAGAAAATTATCTGGAAAAATTTGAAAGTTTCTTCATGGTAACTATAAAGTTGTACCTATATCTATCTACATCAAAAACCTTATACAGGTCAATAATGATGAAGCAGTACATAAATGAAGAATATATCTTGAAATAAAAATAATTTATTACCTAGTTAAGTAATATATTTCTCAAATATCCAAACCTAAATTTCCACACGTACCTACCTATAAATATGTTTAAACGTTTTTCATCTGGAAAATTCTGGTTCCTGCATGCAAAAATCAAAATATTTTTATTTCTTCAAAGTATAAAAATAGACTTTAGGCTCAGGAATTGCAGTTATTTTTAACCGGCATCAATTCAACACTCTGGTAATAACGTTGTATGTAATCGAGTATAAAAATTGAAATTACGTCTTCAGTTTTAATAGTTGAAATATGAGCCTTAAAATTTCATGTAAAGCCTCTGACAACGACAAACATGAGTGGGATATAACATTTTTGCTGTATCACAAAGGGAAACTATATAGCGCAGCTGATGATGGAAAAATAAAGGTAAATATTCCATGCTTAAAATTACTAATGCACACAAACATTATTTGTTTAGGTTTGGTCGCAAGATTTAAAAAAATTAGCTGAAATCGAAGCTCATCCATGTTCAGTGTTTTGTTTAGCAGCAAACGATGAAACATTGTTTTCATGTTCAAATGATGGTACCATCAAATTATGGGAATTGGATACTTTAAAGGAAAAAGAGACTCTGGTTAAAAGTTCCGACACTGAATATTGGAGAGTAGCCTATTCGGATGGATGTTTGTTTTCTGGAGACGACAAAGGAGATGTAATTATGTAAATATATTTAAGTAAGTGATTTTGAAATTAAATATTTTTAGATAAGTATTTACAAAAGTAATAAATTATATGGACAAGTTAACATTGCGGAACCTATAAAAGACTTGGCAGTTTATAAGGGCTTTGTTTTTACTGTTAAAGATTTAGACTTGGTAGTCACAGAAATAAAATCAGCAGGTAGGTACGATACTGATCAAATAGATATTTTTTTCGATACTATCTAGGTATTTTAGGAGAAAAAATTCAATTTGAAACGAAAACTTCGTTCATGGGTAGAGCTCCCGTAACACTTATCGGCGAAAATTTGTTTGCCTTTGCCACTAGAGAAGGAAAAGAAATACAACTTCATGAAAATAACGTGCAATCTAGATTCAAGCAAGTTGCTAGGATAACGGTAAGAACTTTATTGTTCTTATTGGTAAATCTAGAATTTTTGCCTCCAAGTATCCAATCAATTCAGGCTTATAGGTACAACAACTAACAAAATAAAATGTTGGTTTCTCCAAACTCCTAGTCATTTCTCTGTTCTTTTCAGCATGGATCTGACATGATCATAAACGCCTTAGAAGGAGTTATATGGAACAATCAAGAGCAATTTTTTAGCGGTGGCTGGGACAAACTCTTGAAACGATGGATAATTAAAAATAACGGTCCAAACAACGAAGGAACTTTGGATGTTGGATTGGTCATTATTAGTTTGGCTGGTGGCGAGCAAAATCAAATGTATGTTGGATGTGCCGATGGACATATTGTTAGAGTTGACATAGCTTAAATGGAAAATAATAAAATAAGTGTACTATTGTAAAAGAAAACTTAGTTTTACTTAACTTAAATAACATTTACAAATAAAATAATTCAATAAGAATGTTCAAAGATTTTCTTGAACTCATCTACTGATTCCAGTAGCTCGCGGTCCTGACTGCTCAAGCTTGATTTTGATTCTTGTTCAATCTTTTCGGGGTTTAGTTTTGGCTTTTTTTGTGGCGGTTCATTCTCGTTATTCTGTGAAATAATACAATATAATTATCAAAAAAAATACTCATATTTAGCTTACCTCGATACCAGTTTTTGATTCAATCAAAATACTAGAGACAATGGTACTTTGAGCTTCACCACATTTTTTATTAAAGTCTTGAACTCCAGACACTCCAGCTATCGGTTTTGGTGGTGGTAATATTTTAACCAGGTCTAATCTTCGATTTTTTCTACGTCTAGGTGGTGCTATTTCAATTCGAGGATTAAACATATTGTAGATATCCGGTAACGGCAAAACCTGAATTTATAAAAAAAAAAAACACAACATAGATCGAAAGAAAAATTGAATGTTCTGAAATTTAAAAAAAAAATCCGACTTTCCAGATATAGTTTTGTGATGATCCAGAAATTTGACCCGATAATTACAAAGCATTTACTGTAAAAATTAAATAAATAATCAAACAATCAAAAACTGAATTTCCGTATCTATAAATCTGTATCGATAAATTAAAAATAAAACAAATTATCGCTAAAGTATTGCAACACCGGCCAAGTCAATCTAAACTAAATTCTTAAAACAGATAAAAACGAGGTGATGACATCACTAATAACCGATCAATGCACTTTTTTCTGCCAGCATGTTAATTAATTTGATGATATATGGCATTCTTGAACCAATAATGTTTTGACCTCAATAAATCAGATTATTGCGACATAATTAATTGATTTCAGGCTTAAAATGATGTAAAATTCCAAGGAAATTGCATCATTATTTTAATAATAATTAGCTTGGCCAATGGAAGTGTCGGATTGCTAGGCAAGTGACCGCCTGTTGACGATTTGGGGGGAAGATATAAAAACCACGGTTTCAGTTGCCATTGGATAGTTCCCAGTTGAAAACAGACCAGTCCAGTTTGAGGTGAAATCTGCCCAGTTTCGCGAAAAGTTTCTTTTATGGCGTTTGGCCTCGGGTATAAATTAACTTAGAAAATTTACGGAAAATCGTGAAAGTAATAACATTTGAAATTCGTTCAATAATTTATGTGCGTGCTAGCTAAATATTTTGAGTAATTAATTAAGTAATTTTACGTGTGTTTTACGGACAAAATGTAAGTACTTTATAGTGACAAGATTTATTTTTGATGAACATGACTTTGTGTGATTAAACTCTGACTTTCATTGCATAAAAACAAACTGAGTGATTTTTACTAGAAATACTTTTGAATTTATAAACCTGAGGGTTGTATTACTAGAAAAACTTTTGACTTTTAATTTAACAGTGGAACTTTATTGCCTTAAATAGTAATAACTCGAGTGTTTTATAAATGGAACATTATTGCATAACTTAATTACCTTCAGATATAATGACATTTAATGGTGAAAAGAGTACTTATAATGCATTTAACAATATACTATTTTGAGTTGGAATTATGAATTAAACAGTTGAATTTATTAGCTAGGCATAGGAATCCGAAAATAGAATTAGTTCTGATAAACTATTAACTGCAATAGGAAATTTTGAAAAGAAATTTGATGACATAAAATAGAAATGTTTTCTTAAAATATTGGAAACTTGTTAAAAGGAAATAGAATTGTCTTAGAATATGGGAAAGCTGTTAAAAGAATTTATTGTTCATATGAAATGAATTTTGAATTAGGGAGTTTATTTTACAAGTAGAAGTTATTGTAAGATTTTATGAGAATAAATTAGTTGATAAACAAATAGGTAATTATTTTGGGTTTTCATAAGTAAAGGACTTACAGATTTTAAAGAATTATTTGATTAGGTAAAGGATAGTTATTAGGAATGATTCGGATGTAGTAAAATGAGTTAAATTATAATTTTGAGAAATAGTATGAATAGGGCGTTTCTTATTTAGTAGGGATATTTCAGTGGTCCGTAAAATAACAATATAGAACGGATGTGAAGTATTGACTTTATAGAAATAAAGGATGTAAAGTATTGGAAGATATTTGGCTGATTGATTTTTGGGTTTTATGTGAAATAAAATATAATTTAGTACACCTCATTAGTTTGTTTCTCTCTCTTGCAAATAGACCCTCCTCCACAGATTTTAGATAGCAAGCTCCAAGTAAATAAACACCATCAATATACCGCTCTCCATTTACCATCTAACTATTTACATAAAGTACCTACTTGGGGCGATTTGCTACAGTTTATTCAGAAATAGCAGAACTTCAGATTTCAAATCTAATAGTTTTGAGCACTGATTGCGGTTAATTTTTCAAATTCATCTGCAGAGATGAAAAATCTCACATCAAAATTGGTTCTTTGGAATGCATAAACATTCTTTGATCGATTATCTACCATCGGAATATTTTTTCGGATAATTCTGATGTGCGGATTTTTTTTTCTGTTTGCAAACGAATTTTTCGAAATCAACCAATCAGAGCATAGAACTGGCAGATTTGAAATCTGAAGTTCTGCGTCATTACCGCCCCCTTAAAGCGCGACAACCCTGTATATTAATCTCTTTTTATCAGGATAAAATTCTACTAAAGTTTTTTTTTATTTTATAAAGCAGAATAAAGTAAATTTGGCTCTTGAAATAAATTTATGAATTTGTTGATGCTCCTCTCCTATGATCCTTATAGCGAGAATTTGTAGATTTTCTGTTTTTTTGCTCAGTAGTTAGTTGAAACAGCACAACTGTTTATGTACCTGCCAAATGAAAAACTCCTTATAACCATGAGAAGAAGTTTCCCATATGTCATCTAAAATCTGTTTAATTTGTAGGGTCGAAGCTGTAGGATGGATCCAATGACATAAAGTCCAATTAGTTTTCTTGAACAATCGTTTAGCCATCCTCAGAATAACAACTATTCCTTGAGGAGGTGAATCGGTTGCAAAAATATCTCCAAAAATACTTCTTAATGGTAAAACAAGGGGACTTTTTTCCACCGACTGAAAATAATTTTCAGGCTCAACATCTGCAACTTATATATTGGTTAAAATTTTATCTTTTTTAGATGGTTGGATACCTACAGTGTAGTTTTTCTTCAACTACATGGCTTTCTTGTTTTTCAGGAGAATCTGTCGATTCTACATTGATGTAGTTGGGTAGCTTAGCATAAACATCTTCCATGTTTGAAGCTGTATAGATATTATTTACATTTGCGATTTCAGAGTACGGAATAACTAGCAGTTCTTCTTCAACTTTAAAAATCTGAAAAAAATTGTTGCTGGTGATTATGAATTTGAGTCAGTACCTATAGTCATCAGAAAAACTTTTTTTTCTACTACCGTGCGTAAAGTACTCACTTTACGCACTATCCAGAAGAAGTAAAATTGCCCTTCACGCACTAGCGCCTATAAAGTAATTCCCTTCACGCACTAGTGCGTAAAGTATTTGACTAAATCTATTTTTTTACACATATTTTATTGGTTGTAGTAGAAAAAAAATTGTATGTAATACGTGCGTAAAGCACCTTTTTTCACTCATGTGATTGTCAAACTTCACATACGTGAAAAAAGGTTCACTATTTACACACTTGTTGCATAAATAACTATTAGATACCTACATGAGTGCGAGTGTGCGATAAAGTGACTTTACCGCCCTTACTTGCAAGTGCACATTATGCGGTAAAATTACTTGACCTGACGCAAAATCTACAAAAGACGTTCATGTATGCGTATAACTATCAACGGTATAAATTTTTCTTGTAATAACGACACTGTGGACTCTGATAATACCAACGGTAAAAGAGCTGCAACTCACAAGGATTTGGGAATTCCATTTTGATTTAACTCTATTTTTTGATATGCTGCGATCACGCGGGCTTGGAAAGTGACGTCACTTTCCGAAAAAAAATCATTTTACAACATGACTGCGTCAAATTAAATAATTGTACTAGTACAACTCACTACCTAGAAACTACAGTAGCTAAATAAACTTTTACATACAGTGGTGATAATAGAGGTGCCGCCGCCATTTTGTTCCCAACCTCTTATTACTTTTAAATATGAATTTATAGGTTTTAAATAGACATCTTTCATAAAAAATTTAAATCGACGTATTTGATGATTATTACCTATTGGGTCCATCAAATACGTTGTTTTCCATGTTTTATGATGGATGTTCATCCAAATCCCATATATTCATATTTGAATTAAGCAATATATGGGAACAAGATGGCCGCGTTTTCAATATAAATATTTTACACGTTTACGTTGTTACGTTTACACGTTTACGATACAATTTTAGAACCAATCAAAAACAAGACAGCAATTGTCGTCACTGTGGAAAATAAAGTCACTGTACTAGAAACTATTTTCGTCTTTTACTACCGTAATAAAATAATAAAGGATAGGTATAATCGGTGAACTCTTGTTACCAGTCTCTGTATTGTTTGTTGCCAGGTGCAATAGATGTTGCCAAATAAAGAAAGAAAAAAATATATGTATCATAGTTTTAAATTTATATACGTACATATTTGTTACATTAATATATAAAATAACTATAAAATGGCAAAGGTTATTCAATTTGTACTAACTAATAGGAAAAAACATGTTAAATGGATATTTCGAATATGGGAATGTGAAATGTGGCAACAAAGCGCATGAACATCGGCTTTAACCAATGAGAGGGCGTATTCAGTCACGTGATTTTTTGTTTAAATTTGCTATTTTTATAGATTGTTTTATTTGATAATCTGACTCAAATATTCAAAATATTGTTCATTAGTAAGTTGCAAAAAATGGCAAGTGACCGGTAAATCAGTGGATTTTGATATTACCCTGCGTTTTTATTCTCGACAAATTAGGGTAGGTATCCGTAATTGGCCACTTGGCAGAAAAATAAATAAATCTATCGAACAGAAAAGAAAACGAAAATAAAATCGAGCCGGCTTGTAGCAAATCTTACCTTATTTTCATTGGATTGCTGAGAATTAACGTTATCCATGATCGACAAAAATTGCTCTGTGACAGATTTGACAGGTACCAAGGGAACTTAGAACTAACGTTTGCATAACTTTCCAAAAGATATCACTACTAGGCGATATGTGTTTACGCAACATTATCGGCACTAGGGTGTTCCTTTGTGAAGTGCAGATTGTCCAAACTGAGGTCTATGACTTAGGTTTACTATCCTCATTATTTCTTATCACTACTTTCATCTATTTTCGGAGAAATAAAAAAATGTTTTGATGTGAAACTTTTTAACGCTACAGTGGAGGGCTAAACTAACCTGTAGTGCAAACAGCCTACGTCAAGGCGAGAACGGACATGCTGCCTACGTCAAAACTGGTGAATTGGCGTAGTGAAGGGCTTCACATTTGTTCAACACAAGCCTTTGAGCATAGGCTATCCTATAGTAGTAGTCTGTATTATCCTTGGTGATACACGAGCTAGCGATACGAAAATTCAGTACGTATTTTTTTTGTGCAACCATCCATGAAATGAACTTTCACGGCCGCTACACCTTACGTGCAAAATGTGTCAAATCCTTGTCAAATTTATACAGTTTTCCTCTTACTTTACATCATTTTTATAGTTGCACAAAAAATAGTGTGTATACCATGACCGCAAAACTTTTTATCGTCCTCGAAGATTATCTTGACGGCGATAACTTTTCTCTACGTACGCTAAAAAGGCATTTCGCGGCCTTGGTATACAAATAACTGTAATAGTATATTGTTGTATTAGGAGTAGATGCTTTACTTTTTTGTGTTGAAGCGGTATAGGTTTGCGAGCCGAACGTAGTGAGGCTTGCAATACTGCTGAGGTACAAAAAAGTGCTTCTACTCCGTATGCAACACGCTATTTTTTCTCCAAACGAATGGGGTAAGCTCCGGAACAAGTAAATGGTTGAGCAGCAGTAAAAGTACGAGCCGAGCGGCACTAAAAGTACTTCTACTGCCGCTGGGGTTGCCAAGCAGCATAGAATAGTATATTGTTGTATTAGGAGTAGAAGCTTTACTTTTTTGTGCTGAAGCGGTAGGTTTGCAAGCCGAACGTAGTGACGCTTGCAATACTGCTGAAGCACAAAAAAGTGCTTCTACTCCGTATGCAACACGCTATTTTTTCTCCAAACGACTGGGGTAAGCTCGGGGGCAAGTGGATGGTTGAGCGGCAGTAAAAGTTCGAGCGGCACTAAAAGTACTTTTGCTGTCGCTGGGGTTGGCAAGCAGCATAGAAATTAAATTTCTACCACCTCGACAGGTGTTAATACCCGCTGGATTACTGACATCTTGACAGGGGTTAACAAAATGACGTTTTTCTGACGTTTGGAGAAAAAAGCTATTCCAGAAACATTTATAATGGCCACTCATCAGTAGGATCTATACTACTTCCAAATTCAAGCGGCAGTAACTGAATCCATTCCTGTCCTACGTGCATGCGCACAGTGAAATCGTGCGCACTGGTCTTTGTAGGGGTATTAACCAATGGGAATGCTGGATCACCATTCGATTACTCAGAACACATCTCACTGCTCGGAACATAGACGCTCGTGTACAAGAGCAGATAAAATCTGTTTTTTTTTTAAAGATAAAAGTCAAAATGACATTAGGTTGGCAATCCAAACCTTGCGTTCGGTATTTTGCTCGAAGATCAGAGCGTGCTGAGCGGAGCCGTAATCACGTGACCAGTGAGAGAACAGAGCAGTAGAACGCTATATAAAAATGCCAGAAATTTTAATAAACGAACGCGAATGAGGCTGCACCGAGTACACTTTTTGAATAAACGAACGGTAAAGTCATGCTCGGAGAATTCAGACCAAAATAACGAACGCACGGAATGTAAAATTGTCAATGCTTTCAAATTTTTCATGTAGAAAAGGCTTGTGTTACCAACAAAGTTACTAAATTTTTGACTTGGGGAATTATCTTTAAAAAAAAAACAGACTTTAGATCAAGTTGATTATCCGTATTTATTTATGCTCTTACTTCATTTACAATCTCAGTCAATAATAGCGCAGAGCGAAAAAAACGAACAAAATACATAAAATATAAATTTCAGTCCTAGGTATAAAATGGACACAAAGCAACGACACAAGTTTTGACGACAATAAAGTTTGATTTATAGACCACTTGATGATAAAATTATTTCTAAATCTTCTATGAAAACCTCATAAATTTAAAAAAAAAAACAAGTATTGCTTTTTTTTTAATTTTATGTTTTAAACCTCGGTTCGATATTCAGATATATTTCAATATTTGCTGTTTACGGTATAGTGTAGGTTGCCAGGGCTGAGATGATGTCATAACTTTTATGACATCATCGGGTTTCCAAACATCAAGGATAATACACACTGCTACTACAGGATAGTCTATCGATTCTTGTTTTGTGTAATTCAAATTTCAAGCCCACCATCATGCCAAAGCACCAGTTATGACGTAGTAGCGTGTTGTTTCTCGCCTTGACGTAGGCTGTTCAAACAGTTGACGACTTAGTTATGACGTTGGCAATGGTTGAAAACAGTTAAACCCAATATGGCGGTGATTACCAAAAACGAGGCCGATAAGAGGTGCATTCCAGTGACCTATTTGAATTACTCCTGAGCAGCTCAGGAGTGCTCCACAATTGCTTTGCGCGTTCCAGTGCTTAGATTGTCGTACACTTGAACTACTCATTTCTGTTATCCCCTGCCCTCTCGTGCACCAACCTTTATTTCGGTGTTCCATACTCCTGAGGTCCGAAATGGTGGGTGTTAAGACGAGAGCGTTCCAGTGCTGCTTATGTCGAACAGTCAAGAGCGTCACACTCCAGGAGCATGATACTCTAACAATTTAAGCACTGGAAAGCAGCTAAGCACTCCTTAGAGTGTGTATTCTCCTTGATTTAATGCACGAAAGCCAGCGCATCCTTTCAAATTGGGGTTGACTAACACCGGAGCAAGTAGCTCAGGTGTTCTAAACTCAAGGAATACAACTTTCAGCTTCATTCTAGTTGCGCGAAATTTACACTTTTTTTGACATTGATTCGATAATTTGACGTTTTATTCGTATATCAAACGTCAAATTGTCGAAGCAATTTCATTGCAACCGGACAGTCTGGACACGTTTACCCTGGAGCTAAAACCAACCCGGAGGGACTCGCTATTGAGAAACCGACCCTAAACCAACTCTTTTTTAGGTCTCATTTACATCTTCCTCTACGTCTATTATGTTGTTGTTGCTCAATTATGGCGTTACAAACGCCTATTATGTTAATCAAAATTAAATAGTATTTAGCCTAGTACTCATAACTGCGAAATTTGCACTTTTTTGAGATTGCTTCGATAATTTGACGTTTGATATACGCATAAAACGTCAAATTGTCAACGCAATGTCAAAAAAATGCGAATTTCGCAGTTATGAGTACTAGGCTTTTTCCATCATAAATTTAAATTCTAAATTACGACCGCTGGCGCAAACAGCTGACGACTTAGTTGATGACGTCGCAATGGTGCTACTCCAGATACACAAGGCCTCTTTAAGGGGGCCAGTTTCTCAATAGAGAGTCACCTCCGCCCGGGTAAGTTTTAACTCGGTAGGCATGGCTAGTTCCTGTGTTTAACCTGGAGTTATGCTTAAAGCAGGGGTGACTTGCTATTGAAAAACCGGCCCTAAGGGGTCTGAGGAATTCTCAAGCAGCGACTATAAATTTGATTACGGTTAACCTTAGATCCTCAGATGGTTAACTTCACCTTTACCTTTTACTTTTAAGGCCGGTTTCCCAATAGCAAGTCACACCCGGGTTAAGCATAGCTCCAGGGTAAACATAGCAACTGGACGCGGACACGCTTAACCTGGAGTTAAAACTAACCCCGAGGTGACTCGCTAATAGTAGTTGTATTGCGTTCACACCTAGGAGGAGCTCCGGAACAGCTCCGGGGCTTCACGCGCTTATTCCTTTCGAAAAGTGTTTGTTGCACCACGCATATGTTCCCTGCAAATCGGGGGCGACTAAGCACCGAAGCGAGTAGCTCCAGTGTTTCAAGCTCTTGAAAGGAATACAACTAAAGTCTGTTTTTTTTTTTAAAGATAATTCCCCAAGTCAAAAATTTAGTAACTATGTTGGCAACACAATCCTTTTCTACACAAAAAATTAGAAAGCACTGACAATTTTACATTGCATTGCCAACATAATGTCATTTCGACTTTTATCTTTAAATAATTTATTATTATTTGTATTCCTTTCAAGACTTCAGAACCCTAGAGCTACTCGCTCCGATGATAGAACAGATGCACTGGCTTTCGTGCATTCAAATGTTTGATTCGGGCTTGAGCACTTCAGGTCAGCAAACACTTTTCGAAAGGAATAAGTGCGTAACGTCCCGGAGCTGTTCCGAAGCTCCTCCTAGGTGTGAAAGGAATACAACTAAATACTGAGAAACCGGCCCTAAGTTAAAACTGTTGAAGTAACAAACTTGAAACATTTTGCACTCAGTTCAAATTAGTGCAAAACGAACCAACAAATCTTTATTCGAACGGTTAGGATACAATCGGTTCGCTGCTGTTTTTTCGAACGTACCCCAAACTGAGCTGTCATCAGTTTTACTGGTTACGTCAAAGTTGTTGTCAGTTGTCTTCAAAATGTCAGTTATGATGTAAAAAAAATATTGTGCTATGTTTTTGAGTACGCGCCTAGAAAATTTCTAAATTAAAGTGAAAATCGTGCAAAAACCTATAAAAAAACATTAACAATAACTTAATAAAGACTTTCTGTGTGTTAGTGCTGAAAGACCCATCAACGCCGCTTCGTTATCAAGTGTAGTTTGTCCCTAAAAATTAAAATTTGTTACATAAATCCCTTCACACATGTAAGTACGGTTTTATTTTGTGATATCCTGATTATTTTCAAGGTAGTAAGGCAATATTAGTCAAATTTAACTCTATTCCAACTGGGACGTGACGTAGACATGCCCCTATGCATTTTTTTGCTTCAGAAAATTCAACTTGACCTACACCCGTGTCTTCCTTTTAATAGTTTTCCTTGAGGCGGTTTAATTTTATAAATATGGCATATCAAATTGTTGTAGTGTGTGGTTGTTATTGTATTTAGAATATTTGCCTTATGGCTCAAACAATCAATTATGTTAGGTATATTTACCTACAGGACTTGAAGAGGCCAAAGGCCTACTTTTCTGATCATTTCAAGGGGCACTTAATAGGTAGCCAAAAGCCATGCAGTTAAAAAACTTACCACTAACCATACATGGTGATTTATACATAATCTTTGGATAGATTTCATCAAAACACTTTTTAATTTATGAAAGAAACAAGCTTGCATTATGGTAAATTGAATTGATTTTCTTTTTTTCAGGTTTCGAACAGACAAAAAAGATGAATGGCCATTCTCCAAAAAAATCAGCAAACTTCAATACAAGGCCTTTGAAAACCTATCAGAATAGACGGAGAAAAAGATCCTTGGAAGACCAAAACTTTGATAATCTTTTTCACCTTCTTCCTTATGACAACAAAGCTACTCTCATAGTTGACAGTACACTGGAAATTGTTAAATGGACAATAGAAGAGTCTGTATTCAATGAAACTGGGGAAAGTTTGTCTGACTGGGAGTTAGGTAGGATTTTCTCTTGTGGATGATTATATTATAGGTCAAATGATTTTTTTTTGTTTTAGAAAAATTTGCTAAAATTTTATATGACCAGGCAAGTTTGGAGTGGAATAAACCAATTTCAGACCAGCAGGCGAAAAATCTTTTGAAGGAAGCTCGTAGCGTAGGCAGAAAGGCCTCTAGCCTATCATATTTATGGGAGCAAGTTTTTGATGATCAAGCAGTCAACAAATATTCTAAAGAAAATAAGTTAACTGAAGGTAAACTGTTAACTGATTATATTTTCTTGTATTTACTCAATATTTTAGGTTCTCCTACAAAGCGTAGAAAATCTTGTGTGGGTAATTCGAAAAAATCGAATAAGCGACTGCCACTTAAAAATCTTCCAAACAATAACCTCAAGTCAAATCGTCCTGATTTCCAAGAAGTACCAGGTTAGTTGAAACAGTATTTACTTAGTTGATAAGAATTCAAGATTTTTGATGAGACATACTCTAAAAGTCTGTTCTCACAAGAGCATCGCCCATATGTAGAGATAGCCCTGAGAATATTCTCCAAAGAACTTCTATTGAGAACAGAGAATTTACCGAGAATATTCTTTGACCTTAATTTCTCGAGAATTTATGATTTTTTTAGGTTCAAGAATTTATGAGAATATACGGTAATTATTGGAGAATTTATGGGAAGTTAGCTGTACTTAGATTAGATTTTAGATTTAGATCTAGAATCTAATCTAGCTGTACTTAATTTTCAAGTTTATCAGTTTGTTGTGAAAAACGGAAAACAGAGCCGGAGTCTCATGCACTCGTCATCCGTTTTCCGAAGTTCAATATCCAAAAACTTTCTATTCTGATATATTTTTGTGCCACTGAGTACTGAGTGTATTTCCAGCTCTTTCTCTCAACCTCTTAAAGAAACAGAGAGAAACACAAACACATTTTTGTTTTTTTTGCAAGATTTCTACCAACCGAAAACGCCATAAGTTATTACATTGTCCCTGTACCAAAGTCTATCCTGTACTGTGCAGAGGTGTAAAGAAATATTTAATTTAATATTAGTTTTGAGGAAATTGCTTCGAAAATTAAACCTAGAGGGTTGTTATGAAAATATTTCAGACAAAATAAGGACAACAAATTTTGTGATTTTATATATCAAAAAAATGCGGAAAGCCCCAAATGATGTTAAGAAGCTATATTCTTCGAAATTCTCAAAAATTCTCCCAAATTCTCCAATGTTCCCGAATATTCTCCAAGAAAATTCTCTCAAAATAAATTCTCGAGAATTTGCCATCTCTACCCATATGTGTTTTCAATGCTGACATTCCATTGACATCAGCTTTAAACATTATATTTTACTCTGAACATGAAATTTTGAAGCTGCTCAGCTGCAAAACTGTTGAAACTAAATTAAAATCTCAATTAACAAGTTTGTAGAGAATTTAATTGGTTTTAATTAGAGCCTAATTGCATTGAAATCGGATGAAACTTAATGGAGCTCTGAGGCAAAAACTGTCTCAGTGTCATGTTCGATAAATTCAATTTTGAAACTTCTCAGGTGCGAAACTGTTGAAAGTTGAAACAAATATACAATTTTGTGCAGTTAAGTGAACAGAAAAACCTGTGTTTTTGTCAACCCTGTTGCAACTTTAATCATCTTCATTTTCTGCTTCAATGTTTGAATGTTATTCATCTTCCAAGATTAATAATTAATATTCTTGATGACATGCAAAGCAAAATCAGAAACCTCCCTACATTCTCCAGAAACCAGTGTTTCTTGCACAGTTTCTTGAGAATGTAAGAGTAAAGTCAAAACTCTATTGTAGAAGCAAAAGTGATTTTCAAATCTGAAGCCCTGTTATGCGGCTCAAAACTCATTGTTTGAGTTTTAACAAGCCCCCAAATTATGATACATTTTTCAAGCAGCCACTTTGGATGCTGACAACGAGGGGGGGTTAACTGGTCGAAATCCGTGTACAAGTTGGTCAAAATCCTAGAAATTCTTATCAGGTCTACTTAAAATCTCTAAAAATATTTAAAACCCTTAAAAATTTAACAAAATATCTTGAAATCGCATAAAATCCTACAAAATCTTGGAAAATTTTATTGAAACTAAAAAAATCCTATAAAATCCTCGATAAAACCATTAATATTCCTAAAAAATATTCCCTTTAAAATTTCCAAAAATCCTTCGGAATCCTCAAAAATCCATTAAAGTCTCTTTAGGATTTCTAGACATCCTTCTAAATTCCCAAAAATGCTCCAAAATCACCTAAAATCTTCTAATATCCTGTAAAATCATGTAAAGATTCTCAAAATCCTCTAGATCCTACAAAATCAATAGATATTTTAAAGAGTTAAGCACCCCTCGGCTGATAATAAATTTGTTATTAGTTTCCACATTTTCTACACTGATTGTTTTTTTTCTAGAGGCTTCCAAATTTGAATTCTCCAATTATTCTGAAAATATTGTTTTCGGACAATTGCAAGGTAAGTTTCAAAATATATTATCTGTTGATTTAAATACACAGGTTTTGATACCGTTTTTTCTGAAAGACTCAATTTCCAAGGTACAATGTCTGACTACAAAGAAGATCAATCGTACCACCATATTACAAATGGAGATAGTATGCCCGATTATAATGTGGCTACCTTGCTGAATATGGGCAATACCTGTTTTATGAATAGTGTACTCTACACGTTGAGATTCGCTCCAACTTTTTTGCATAACTTACATCATTTGCTGGTTGATTTGAGTTTGATTAATAGCAAATTGAAGGAGAACAAAACCAAAACTAGCAGCTTAGGACGCAATGGTAGCGCTGTTAGTGGCAGTAGTTGGAGAAGCGCTAGTAGCAAGGATTTATTGTCTATAGGTGAGTAAAAAATTATATTCTAGAAAAATCCAAATTGAAACTATATATTTGTTTCTTTTAGGTAACAATGACATTATCCCCAAATCTAAAGATCAAATAGTAACAGAAAAATTACACGCCCTTTTCGTAACCATGAATAATCTGGAAACGAAAGGCTCGCCAGATCCTTACCAACCAGAAGCCTTATTACAAGCCATGAGAGATGCCAATACACTGTTTGAAGGCAATCAGCAACAAGATGCCCACGAATTTTTCGTTGAGTTATTGAGCTGTTTGAGGGTTACCTGTGATAAACTCAATGAACAAATTGAACAAAACCCTGACCTCATTAAATCTCCCGAACCGACTGCAGCTAGTATTAATAACAATAGTAAAATTTGGGGTGTGAGAAGGTCATGGAAGAAGCCATTAAAGAAAAAAGATAAAAGTGCTTCTAAGAAAAATGGGGATTTTGAAAACGGTAAAAGAATTATAGAAGACAATATTATTATCATTTTAATTTTTGGTTTAGATGTTGCAGGTGGTGATTCTGAAGACAACTTATCTAGTGATGGAAATAGCGATTCTGTGAAAAAGAAATTTGTTTATAATTTTATAGCTGAAGATTTTCAAGGGGTTTCCTTACATCGAACACAATGTTTACAATGTGAAGAAGTTAGTGAATTGAAGGAGCCATTTTTAGAAATTCAAGTAATATTAAATTTCTTATCACATTTTTATAATATCACGTTTTTATTTGTAGGTGCCAATAAATTACAGGGATGAAGATTCTGAGTCTCGCCTAGATAGTGCAATTTTTGGTGCTATATGTGTAACATCAGAAAAGCTTTGTGATCAAAATAAATATTTTTGTGAAATCTGTATGAGGTATAATGAAGCCCAAAGAACGGTAAGTCGAATCTATTTTTGGTTAATATTTTTTTTAAAGCATATTCCTATAGGTTCTATATGAAAAACTGCCAAATATCATGGTCCTCCATTTGAAAAGGTTTACTACGTCAATGTCAGGCGTTCAAAAAGTGAATAATTTTTTGCCTACGCCCCTGGAAATTCCATGTTTTTGTGAGAACTGTAACAAAATTGAGAAGACAAAAATAACCCCTCACAAATACCAACTGAGTTGTGTCATTATGCATTTAGGAGCTAGCATGGCTTCTGGACATTATATCGCATACTCTAGAGCCTCTGTAAGTTAATAATAACAACATTTATTTCAAAATTGGTATAAAAAAATAACAATTGAAATTACGTCAATAAGCCAATAAAGGCAAAAAAAAATATATAACTCAACATTCATCTGATTATTGAATAAGTATGCTATCAACATTACAAGTTCATAGGAAAATAAATAATTATAATTTACATATTCAAGAAATCATCCAAGGTATATGGCTCCAAGTTAATAAGCAATCTTTTGACTTCTCTTTTAAAAGCAGATATACCTTCAATCTGTCTTACTTGTCGTGGCAATGCATTGAATAATTTAACGCACATATACTCTGGACTTTTTTGACTTAATTGGAGGCGATGTCTGGGGTAAGATAAATATTCTGCCCTGGTGTTATATCTTTCAGTTCTTAGCTGTTCAAATAAATTTTTATTTCTTTGTAAAAACATGAGACATTCAAATATGTACAAAGCATATACAGTTAATATTCCCATCTGTCTGAAAGTATTCCTGCAGGACTGGTTATAGTCCATTTTCTTAATAATTCTGACCACTCTTTTTTGAGCAATAAAACAATCCTGAGTATATGCGCTTTTGCCCCAAAAAATTATTCCATACTTTAATCTCGATTCAAAATTGGCAAAATACAACGTTCTTAGAGTCTTCTCATTCATATATTTTCCTGCTACCCTAATACCATAGCAGATGGAACTTAACTTTTTCACAAGGCCACTGACATGAAATGACCAATCCAAATTCTCATTTAGACACAATCCCAAAAACTTTGTATTCTCCAAAACCCTCAAGTTGCCACTTGACAAATTTACATTATCAATCCTTTCTATATTAGATTGTTTTGTTCTAAAAAATACAATATTTGTTTTATCCGTATTAAGAATTAACCTGTTTTCAATAAACCATTTTGTTACTTTATCAAGAAAATATTTACTATTCACCAAAATCTGACACAGACCCTTACCACCAGTCAACAAATTCGTATCATCCGCGTAATTTAATATTATTTGACCTGGATTATCTCTTATCATGTATATATCATTTATAAATATTACAAATAGGATAGGTCCCAGAATACTGCCCTGAGCCACACCAGTTTCACTGTAAAGTGTCTTAGATTTCGCTTTTGTACCATTTCCAATAACACTCACAATTTGTTTACGATTATTTAGATATGACTCAAGCCAATGCAAGGCCCTTCCCCTTATTCCATATCTATCAAGTTTGCCCAAAAGCAATTTTCTGTCAAGACAGTCATATGCCTTTGACAGATCGAGGAACATGCCCAAAGCTCCCTCTCCGCTTTCAAAAAAATTCACGATATGCGTCACAAACTGATACATCGCCGTTTGAGTGGATTTTCCCTTTAAGAAACCGTGCTGGTTACTGTTGAACAAATTACAGTCGTTCATAAATTTTAGAAGTCTTTTGCACATGGCAAGCTCAAAAAGTTTGGAAAATCCAGGCAAAAGGCTGATAGGCCTGTAACTGTCCATTTCCCCCTCATCTCCCTTCTTGTACAAAGGCTTAATTAAGGCTACTTTCAGTTTGTCTGGGAATATCCCATTCCTGAAAGAACTATTAATCAAGTAGCAAAGTATGGTTTTGACTTTCTCTATAGACACTTTTATAATGCTTGTTGGTATCTCATCCACCCCACTACTATGTTTATTTTTTATTTCTGTTGCTAATTCAGCAATTTCTTTAATAGTTATTGGTCTTAGAAAGATTGACTGGTTATTTGTTGGAATATTGCAAGTGTAAGGTAAATGATCAACTGTTTTTAACAAATCTGGTATAATAGATACCAGAAATTTATTGTAGTCATTTGCAACTTTTTCAGCATTTCCCTTTAAACCAATTTCGTTCTTAGAATAAGCCTTTCCGGTTATCTCTTTAGTAATAGCCCACATACATTTCATTTTATTATCAGACTTAGTGATTCTACTTTCGTATTTCTGAGTTTGAGTTTTTTTTAAGATTTCATCATATTCTCTTTTAGCCTTTTTGTAGGCATCTTTATATTGTGCACTAAAATTAGTTAATATTAACAGTGAATCTAATTTTGTTTTACAGCTATCTACTTCCGGCGTTCTTATCAGTTTTTTTGATTTATTATAAAAAAATTTCAAAGGAAAATGCTGATTGAATATCGCCATATACGTATTTGCAAAACTATTCCACTGGTCATCTACATTATTTACATCTATGGAGTATACATGTTCCCAATTTTCATCCATCAAACTGCTCAAAAAACTGTTCATGTTCTCTTGAGAAAAGTTTCTTTTTTGTTCAAAGTTTGTCCTATTGTTTGCATATGTTTCCATGACAATTTTTTGTGCAGTATGATCTGAGACATAATTTTCTATTACATTCGCACTAATAAACTCCCCATTTGTGAATATATTGTCTATACAACTACTACAGGTTGATGTTATTCTGGTGTTTTCTTTGACAGTAGGGTATAAGTTGAAGGAATTCATTATTGCTAGAAAATCTGTCCCCGATTTATTTTTTTCGAGAGTTTCTATATTAAAGTCTCCGGCTATAATAACTAATTTGTTTTCAACAAAAACTATCGATAGAAGCTGTTCTATTTTATTGAAAAAAAGGGATAAGTCGCCTGAAGGCGGTCTATAGATTGTAATGATAATAGTTTCAATATTACCTAATCGACATCCAATAGCCGCACACTCGAAAACTCCGCTCACTGATAGCTTGCAAAGGTTTTTCCTACTTCTTGCCGATGTTTTGTTATGGACATAGATTGCTGTTCCTCCATGTTGACACTCCTCACGGCAAAACCATGATGTTAATTTGAAGTTTTTTATGCCCAATTGTGTGAGTTGTTCTTCACTTTTCCAGTGTTCTGATGCGCAAAAAATTTTGCATTCTGGATGCACATTTAATGTGTGGTTTATTTTATCAATCGAGTTTCCAAGAGACTGCACATTTTGGTGTATTAGGCTTATCAGAGAGTTGGAATTTGTTTTGCCAGTCGCTGTGTTGCTGCTTGTGGGTTGATTTTTCTTGTCGTTTGTTAAAAAAAAGCATCTGAATAATTTATTTGACTCTGGAAGTTCTTAAGTCTTCTTTGGTACACAGGGCAATTACTGTCGCGTGCTGAATGTTGACTATCTTCTTCTTTGTATTTCATTTTCACACAGTTGACACACTTAAACATTACTGATTGACATTCCTTCCCTGCATGGTCATTTGCTCCACATTTATGGCAACACTCGTTTCCACCACAATACTTTGCGACATGGCCAAAACCACAACACTTAAAACAAAGAGCAAGGTTAAAATGCTCTTGCACATACACTTTCATTAGATCGAAGTTTATAGTTTCCTTCTTCAAAAACCACTTAGATATTGCTGGTTCTGCTTGTAATATCCAATTTTCTTTACTTGGATTTCGACACGATTTTTTGGTTATCACTTTTATTTTGTCTTTAATATCAGTTATTGGCAATTCAGATTCTATTTCATCATTCATTCTTAACAGCTCTTCAACAAATTCAGAGTCTGAGTAGCCTTTAAGAATTCCAGAGATCATAAACATGGGATTTATCGCCTCATTTTCTTTAATCTTTATATTGTGTTTATTTTGCAGGGTGTCTTTCAGTTTTCTTTGTTGGGACTCATTACGGCTTTCTACGACTATTGCTCCATTTTTCAGATGTCTAATACTTTTAAACCCTCCTCCTATATCGGTTCTTCCAATTTCTTTTTTAAGTTGGTGCATGGTATCTTTTGGGTTAGACATGTTCTCAATTTGTATCACTGTTTCCAGTTTCTGTGAAGCTTTCGGTGGTGTGGTCCATGCTTTCTCAGTTTCCGTTCCTATACTTGGTCTTGATTCTGACATTTTTTGAGCAACATCTGCATAGGTTTTTTGTTTGGTAGTGTCTGATATTTTATAACTTGATTGTGAGTGTATGTTCGGGTTAGTTGCATGTATCAAAGATTTAAGTTTTAATTCATGTTCAAGTTTGATTTTGTCTTGCTCGAGCTGTCCGATTTTTAACGTTATTAGTGCTAAATTCTTCTGTATGGCGCTAGTTGCGATTGTTAAAATGTTTTGGCTCTCTTTATCTATGATTATGTCGTTATTCACCTTTTTACTTGTGTGAGATTGGATTTTATCTAGAGCTTCAAACATATCCCTAAGGATGTTGCTCATTTTTATGTCTGGTTCTTCTTGAATTGGTTTTGTTGCTATATCTGGTAAATCTATTATTGGTCCTTCACATGCTCTTTTATTTTTGTTTTCCTCCCCTGGTGACATATCGCCTCGCCTTCGCTTGCTGTAGTTGAACTTTTCGAGATTCCCCGGTACTTGCTCACTTTTATTACCGTCGTTATCTTTATCTTCGAGCGTTTGTTTATTTGTATTATTTCTTATCGCATTTTTTGGAGTTTTTTTGCCATCTCCGAGAATGATTTTATTTATTTCCGACTCTGAAAACTCGATCGAATTTACGGAATTAGACCGATTTTTCCGTGAAAAGGCTTCACTTAATTTTGATATACTTGTGGCAATGTCTTCACTGCCGTCACTTGTGTCCCCCATGCTAAACCCCAAATAATATTCGTTATTTCTCGATATGTAAACACTTTTGTTGTGGAGCGAACAAAAACACGTCCGTACCGTGATAAGTTTGGAATAAAAAAAAAAATTGACTTGATATTACAAAATGTATTTTCTTATTTTTGTTTGAGTTTAGGTTGAGACATACGACTACATCGAATGCACCAGAGACATTCCAAAGAGCTACCTTAGCTCAAGTAGTAAAGATTTATCTGTCAATATATTGAAATTCTTTAAAGGAAAAGGCTTGGGGAATACTTTAAGCGAAAATCAGAATGGTATTGGATTAAATTCCAAAAAGAATGACGCCCATGTAAGTTATTTATTTTATTTTTTTTGGTCTAGTAACTAAAATGTTTATTTTCAAAGGTATGTCAAAGCCTACATTGTTGTGGCATCAGGTGCAAGCTAAACTTGGGTTCGCAAAGCCACAACGACGATTGGCTGGAATTTGACGACGAAAAAGTTAAAATATTATCAAACAAAGAATTCACTGATATGTTAAATAGGAGGCACGATAGCACTAACACTCCTTATCTGCTGTTCTACTCGAAAGTTGAATAGTAAGTCTGGGTCTATAGATTAGTTTGTTATATGTATTTTTTTTTTCTTATCGGTTGTGTTTGGTATAAATTTTTTTGTCAAAATAGGTGTTGGTTGCCAAAAGAAAAAGTTTCGGTGTATGTGTCCAGTAATGTAAGTTGACTGATTATATTTGTAGTATTTCATTACTCACAAAAAAAATTAATACATTTTCAGTCATTATTTACCATATTTGAACTTTGATGTGTGCCAAATAAAAGAATTATGTGGTACTTACTTACAGAAATCATGTTGAAATTTCTTTAAAAATACTAATCATGTTTTGGGTTTTGTTTTGTTAATTAGTTAATAAATAGACAGATTAATGAGTTGCCTAATTTTTTATAAATCTGTCTTTTTTGGTTTCCATTTGACATTAGTCTGGTATTATTAGTTATTTATTTGTCTAGCTTTAAATATAGATATTTTTCTATTCTACTGTATTATTTGTCTTGTGTTTATAGCTTGTCCTTTAGGACTGAAAATATGTATTAACTCATCATCTATATTTAATGTATGCGTTTGGTGTATGTAAATGTTTTTTTTTTTTGAATATTTTCCTTAAATTTTAGGTAAATTAGTATTTAGATTTTGAAACAGATGGCTTTATTGAAATATAGTCAGCTTTAGAACAAAGTACCGGTGTACCTCAAATACTTCTTCCGAGATAAATAAAATTATATTGCCCTAACCATAGTATGCTTCAGATATTAAAATTTGTTGTCTATAAATAATACAAGTCCAGTAAAAAGTGTTTATGCCAAATACCATTTGTTCAAGGTCTTATTTCAGCTGTCATGGTTATTTTGGGGTTAAACTTTTTTCCTGGCCCCTGTATACTGGAGAGAATGGTAAAATTTTTATTACATAGTTTGTTTTGGAAGTTTGATAATATATCTTTTTGTGATGCTAACGTTTCAACAAAAAAAAAAAACATATAAGCACTACATGTAATTTATTACTAAACTAAATGGAGTTTCAAGTTTCTCTAGTTTTATCCTTAAAATTATTCATTTTCCAACTTAAAGAGATATTACAGACCTTCCAAATTTATTCACAAATAAAACCAAATAAGTACTGAAAAGTGTTCAAATTTTGTACATTTTCACGCTTTTAGAAATTAATTAATTGCAATGAGAGTAGTCAAGTGCTAAAGTGTGATTATAAAAACACAAAATACGTAATTTTGTTTTGTTATAGAAATTTAATAAAAATAATTTTTATCAAACAGTATAAAAAAATTTGTTCAAGAATACTTATCCAAATTACATGTATGTATGGGGCACTTAAAACTCGCTTTACGTAAATTAATATAAAAGCAAATACTATTTCTAATTTATTGACAGAATAAGATAATTTAGAGCTTAAAAATTTAATAAATGCACTTATGTATACTCCAAAAAAAAAAACTGTCAAAATATTAGAAAGTAAAATTAACTATTTAGGTAGGGTTTTACAGTCGGCTAAAATAATTAATATATGGCGCTTCGCCTCCCAGTTTGTGATTTCAAAAATAAGACCAGTATTAAACAAATTAGGATAGGTTCGTTAAAATTCGTGATATTAGATGTAAAAATGTTTTTTCCTTTTGAATTTTTTTTGGGTATTGGGAATCAGTTAAATACATTTTCTTATATATTAATGGTGTAGAAGGTGTATTTATTCATTTCCCAACTAGTGCAAAATGAAATACCCCATAGTAATTGCAAAAAATATTGTTTGTGTACTCGTAGGTGTAAGGATTCGTAAAAAAAAAATATATTGAATAAAACAAAAAAGGTGTGTACAGATAATATTTATTAATATAAATGTATGTACATAGTCACTTGTTAGATGTAAGAATTCTAGAAATCTCTTCGCAAACATTTATATGTATAAAATAAAATCATTAAATAAATATTTTTTAAGTACATAGTTGTACATAGATATAAATTATATTTAAAAAAACAAAGTTTAATTAAATTAAATCCATACACACACACAAAACAAAAAAAAAAACTATATAAATATAAATACTGTAAAAAATAAAGGTCAGATCTGTATATTATCTGTATATTGCAAATTTTAAAAAATAAATAAAAACATTTCCTATTGATTTAATTGTTGATTTTCTTCATACTTTTGAATATTTTTGCAAGATTTCGTGCAATTCTTTACTATGCCTCTTCTGCCATTGTGTCTGTACTTTGACTGTTTCCAAGGTTTGTTCAACGCCCTGTTTCAACTCCGAAAAGTCCTTTTTGTTTTCATGAATGAAATGTTCCAACTGAAATCGAAATTCATTAAATAATGTATTTGAGTTAAATTTTAGTAATTACCTCTTCAAGATCTGTAGCTTCTTGCATGTGGCCTGAGAGCGATGTTAGATATCGACTGATCTTTCTTTTGTTGGGAGAACTACTGCAAAATCATATAATCTATGTAAGTACTTTGTATAAATATTGTTAACAAGCTGAGAGAAAGCATAAAAAAGCAATTCTCCAAAAAAACTGGTATTTCCTAGACAAGGATGTTGACTGGAAAAAGAATGGGAAACAGATGCTGTTTTTTGACACGGGAGTCGAAGTCAGCATCCAGAGAATTGAACCAGGGTTCCTGAAGATACAGCCAAAAATTCAATATGCAAATGCAAATAGTTATGGACACTCAAGAAAAAGCACATAAAATAGGAGCCAAAAAGGATTACACGATAACACAGAATGAAATAAAGACAATAGAATTAGAAATCATTAGCAACAGAAGCAAGCTTAGAAGCTCATTTTCCCAAAATTTCAAATTTTTCCAGTGGAAAATAACAACACGGAGAATCTTGGAAAGCAACCTATAATAACTGAAGTAATTGAAAATACAGTCTCACACATTTCACAGTTTTTCTGGAAAACTAATAAAGGGTATGTTTTGAAACTTTTTGCATGTAGAGAAGAAAGGTAGAAGCTCATTTTCTCAAAATTTCTAATTTTTCCAGTGAAAAATAACAACATGAAGAATCTTGGAAATCAGCCTACCAAGAATGAATTAATTGAAAATACAATCTCGCACATTTCAAGGTTTTCTTGGAAAACTAGTAAAGGGAAAAATTTCAAACTTTTTGCATGTAACGAGGAAGGTTGGAAGTTCATTTATCCACAATTTTAAATTTTTCCAGTGCAAAATAACAACATGAAGAATCTTGGAAATCAGCCTACATAAACTGAATTAATTGAAAATACAGTCTCACACATTTCAAAGTTTTTTTTGGAAAACTAATAAAGGGGAAATTTTGAAACTTTTTCCATGTAAAGAAGGAAGGTAGAAGCTCATTTTCTCAAAATTTCTAATTTTTCCAGTGAAAAATAACAACATGAAGAATCTTAGAAATCAGCCTATAAAAACTGAAGTAATTGAAAATACAGTCTCACACATTTCAAAGTTTTTCTGGAAAACTAACAAAGGGGAAATTTTGCAACTTTTTCCATGTAAAGAAGAAAGGTAGAAGCTCATTTTCTCAAAATTTCAAATTTTTCCAGTGAAAAATAACAACATGAAGAATCTTAGAAATCAGCCTATAAAAACTGAAGTAATTGAAAATACAGTCTCACACATTTCAAAGTTTTTCTGGAAAACTAACAAAGGGGAAATTTTGAAACTTTTTCCATGTAAAGAAGAAAGGTAGAAGCTCATTTTCTCAAAATTTCAAATTTTCCTAGTTAAAAATAACAACATGAAGAATCTTGGAAATCAGCCTACCAAGAATGAATTAATTGAAAATACAATCTCACACATTCCAAAGTTTTCTTGGAAAACTAGTAAAAGGAAAAATTTGAAACTTTTTTCATGTAAAAAGGAAGGCTAGAGGCTCATTTTTCCAAAATTTCAAAATTTTCCAGTGAAAAATAGCAACATGAAAAATCTTCAAATTCAAAAAATTATTTTCTTTTTATTTTATATTTCTCCATTCCGTCAACCTAAATGAGGCAGTGGGCTGCAAATGTAAATATAATCTAGATTGGCTGGGAAAACAGTACAAGCTCCAAACAGCACACCGCATTCGTAGCACAAGGTCGCGGAACTTACGAATTTAATGTTCTCACCTTTGGACTATGTAATGCTCCCACAACCTTTCAAGAATTAGCTGACCACGTTTTTTGGGACATGAAATGGAAGGAAGTATTGATTTATCTGGACGACATAATAATATTTTCCCGAACGTTCGAGGAAAGATTATGACAAGCAAACCTAACTCTAAAACCAAGCAAATGCGAGTACCTACGAAAAGAATGTGAACGAAAAGGGCATACATACTACCAGACGAAGATAAACTGGTATACATAAGGAACTTTCTAACTCCAAAGAAAGTTAAAGATATGTAAAGCTTTCTAGGATTATGCAATTTCTATAGAAAGTTCATATGCAACTTCGCAGCAGGGCCATTACATGACGTTACAATTACAAAGAAAAACATAAGGTTTCGATGGGGCACAAACCAGGAGGAAGCTTTCAATACTCTTAAGGAAAAACTTATATCTGCACCAGTACTAAAGCACTTTGACCCAAATGAAAATACTATTCTACACACAAATGCAGCAACATGTGGAATTGGGGCAGTGCTATTGCAAGAAGACGATGAAGGAGATGCGCATCCAATAGCTTATATAAGTCGAAGTCTATCATATAGCGAGAAAAATTATTCAATAAGCGAGTTAGAGCTATTAGGTGTAGTATGGGCCCTAAGCTATCTAAGACATTTAATCTACGGTGGACCAGTGAAAAAAACAGGGACGATTCAGAATGAGCCGCAAAGAACGACTGGCTTAACTCGAACTATGAAAAAGTCAAATGGGCTAAACACCTTTGACCCGTACAAGTCAATAGGGATAGATGGGAAAAAGGAAGTTACTTACTGTTTCATAATTTGTTTAATATTTTTATAGAAGAACTGCTTGGCAAGGAAATAGCCAACATCATTCATAGCTACCGAATTGAATACTGAGCTTGAATCTTGCCTTCTAATTTTAGTATCATCCAGTGACCATTCAAGATACCTGAAATAAAATAATTATCAAAAAAATGGGTATTTGATTGAAACCAATCCTACAATTACCTATTTAAAAGCCAAATTTCTCTGGTACAACCCAAAATGTTTAATAAATTACTCTTTTCAGTTGCTACATTTGACTGTTTGTATTTGTGCCACAGGAAATTCCATTCGTTTTCACCGCCGTATTTCAGGGCTGTGCAATAGATTACTCCAGCTAGATCTTTTGGTATGCTAGATAAAATTGTTTTACTAAAATTACATCGAGTTTTTCAAAATACTCACGGATTTGGATCATTGGGTGCCTCTTGCCATTTTTTAAACAAACTTTTGGAATCTTCAATACATTTTTCAACTCCATATTTACAACTTCTGCTAGCTATCATGACTTGAAATTTAATCTTGTCCAATTTATCAAACTCTTCATCGTGAGACATCACCAAGCCAGCCATTTTTTCATACATAGGAGCAATGAGAGATCTCATATAATTCTACAAAAAAAAATCATCAACTAGAATTAACTTAAACCAAAAAAAATTTACCTTAAAAAATCCATAATTCGAATTCGATCTCAAATGACGATTCAAAGTATCAGCTTTTTCTATTGCAGTCTTCCAAGGCAAATATTCAGTTTCTTGTTTCAAATAATTCAAAATTTCAAAGAAAACATTGTACTCTTGGGAACCAATGTAACTCAAATCGGCAGCGTCAGCTATCAATTGTACCCTGTTCAGAATTGGAATTTGTTTGAAATCTGATTTGAGTGCTTCACTAAGTAAGTGCCAGTTTTTGTAGTCGTAGTTTACCCTGTAGATACTGGCCATTTTATTATTGAATAAAACCCATTCATTTTCAGAAGCTAAATCTTTGATTAATTGGCCACTATTATCGTCGCAGGTTAACCAATACTTTGGAGTTGTAACATTGAATTGAGGATGAGATTTTGTGGAGTAGCTCAAAGGTACCCACCAACAAGGATGGCCGTCGGTTTTGAGTTTGATTGTGTCTCTCAAGAATCTTTCCTGAAATTTATTTTGGTATTTTGTTGTCATCGAACTGATGGAATAGTTCTTACTTGAGTGACTTCGGCTGTTCCATTTTCATAGTCCCTTTCTACATTGATGACAGGATATCCAGTTTGAAGTGTCCAAGTATCCATGATAGTCTTCAAAGTTAATTTTTCAGGTAATGTCTCTTTCTTGTGGGCGGCTTTTGTGAGGAAGTTCCATAAATCATCTTGTTCTGCATTGTGGTATCTAGAAAAAGGAGGAAATTTTATTATAATTTCAAATTTGCCGCTGCTCATTTTTTCTCAAACACTTCAAATCTCACAAGGATTTACAGTTTGGAGTTAACATTTTTGAAGAAAGATAGGAATCTTTACTAGAGAGGAGAACTAAAAACCTTATTTGAAGTCATAATTCCAGACCAAAACCATATAAATTTAATATTAAATTTACCTATGTTCCCTTAAATAGTTGCTTACTCCACTCCTCAAAGTTTCTTCGCCCAAAAACAGACTCATCATCCTCAACAAAGAAGAACCTTTCTTGTAAGAGATAGTATCAAAAATTTCGTCAATTTCTTTCGGGTCTCCAATCGGTACAGACACCTAAACAAAAACAACAATACAAAAATATTTCATTAGCGTAAAACCTTACTGGATGACTTGATCTTAAACCATCAAAAGAAAATACGAGCAGCAAATCTGCTGCTCCTTCTTCTTGTAGAGAATTCCATTGTGGAAACAAGTGATCGACGCATACACTTGCCATGTAGGTAGCAAAACCTTCATTTAACCAAAGATCCGTCCACCATTTCATTGTTACCAAATTACCAAACCATTGGTGAGCCAATTCGTGAGCAATCACCGAAGCGACGCTGTGCTGACTAGCTTTCGTTGAAACTTTTGGATCGTACAATAAATAAGATTCTCTGTAAGTGATCAGCCCCCAATTTTCCATTGCCCCAGCACTAAAATCTGGTATCGCAATCATGTCTTGTTTGGGTAAAGGATAATCAATATTGAAGAATTTTTCGAAGAATCTTAAAGCTTTTGGTCCTACTTCTTTAGCAAAGTCAACCTAAAACAAATTTGACTTGAAATAATTTAATTTTAAAAACAAACTCTCACCTGTGCTAAAGCATCTTTTCTGCTCCAAATTCTAAAAGTAACGTTACTTTCGCTATGATCAGCTTCTTTATAGTCAAAATCAGATACCACATAGGCTACTAAATATGTGGACATTGGGACTGAAATATCAAAACGATCCCAATACCAACCTGGTTTTTCTTTCCTAAAATTTATTTTGTATATTTGCCTATAATAAATTGTATTCAGCCTTACATAGGTTCAGTCATTAATAAAGGCATATTACTAATACTGTTATAGCCATCTTTTCTAGCTAAACTTATATCAAAAGTAGCTTTCATTTCTGGTTCGTCAAAGCATGGGAAAGCTCTGCGGGCACTGATCGCTTCAAATTGCGTCACTCCCAACCATTTCTTTTCTTTAGTTTTGCTATCTACATAGCTACTTCTATAGAAACCTTGAAAAATTGTATTTTAATATTTTTTTTTTTTGTATTATAACATGTCACATTTATTATTACCTGCTAGTCCATCGTCAAGTTTTCCCTTAAACGGGATATAAAGTTCATAACGATGATCCTCTGTTAGAGGTTTGTCTAATAAAACAATAATAAAATCGTTTTCTTTATCATAAGAGATTTTGAGATCTTTGATTTCCTTTGTTGCTTTACTGGTGATATCTTTAAGGGTAATTTCGTTTTCGGCAATTTCTAGTGACTTGGAGTGGAGGGTGATGTTGCTTGTTGGTGTAACACATGATGTCTAAAAATATACAATAACTACAGTAAACTGACATATTTAACAAATTACAGGTAAGTATCTCGTAAGAAAAGATATTAAATACTTCAAGCAATCAGAGGGACTTCAAACTTTCAGGATATATTGAGTAGGGTCTTTTTATCAAACAGAACAAACCGCGAATGAATCTTAGGCTCAGAAATGGAGATATGAATTTTTTCTCACTTAGATGCAAAAAATTTGTATAAACTTGGTGTTTGCACTAGCTACCAAAAAGAATTAGATTATAAGACATGGAATGTCAGTGGATATCAATATCATATGCCGTTTGGATTAGACAATGCACCTGCAACTTTTCAAAGAACGATGTAGAACAAAAACCAATTAAAAATGCAATTCAACCAAGTATTAATTTATTTTTCAAGTAGGTATAGGTACACAGCAAAAACTTCCAGGATATATTGAGAAGGTTCTTTTTATCAAACAGAACAAACCGCGAATGAATTTTATACTCAGAAATGGAAATATGAATTTTTTCTCAATTAGATGCAAAAAATTTGTATAAACTTGGTGTTTGTACTAGCTACCAGAAAGAATTATATTATAGGACCTGGAATGGCAGTGGATATTAATATCATATGCCGTTTGGATTAAACAATGCACCTGCAATTTTTCAAAGCACGATGATGTGGAACAAAAACCAATTAAAAATACAATTCAACCAAGTATTGATTTATTTTGCACATAGATATAGGTACACAGCAAAAACTTTCAGGATATATTGAGAAGGTTCTTTTTATCGAACAGAACAAACCGCGAATGAATCTTAGGCTCAGAAATGGAAATATGAATTTTTTCTCACTTAGATGCAAAAAATTTGTATAAACTTGGTGTTTGTACTAGCTACCAGAAAGAATTAGATTATACTAGGACCTGGAATGGCAGTGGATATTAATATTATATGCCGTTTGGAATAGACAATGCACCTGCAACTTTTCAAAGAACGATGTGGAACAAAAACCAATTAAAAATGCAATTCAAGCAAGTATTAATTTATTTTTCAAGTAGGTATAGGTACACAGCAAAAACTTTCAGGATATATTGAGAAGGTTCTTTTTATCGAACAGAACAAACCGCGAATGAATCTTAGGCTCAGAAATGGAAATATGATTTTTTTCTCACTTAGATGCAGAAAATTTGTACAAAGTTGGTGTTTGTACTAGCTATCAAAAAGAATTAGATTATAGGACATGGAATGTCAGTGGATAATAATATCATATGCCGTTTGGATTAGACAATGCACCTGCAACTTTTCAAAGAACGATGTGGAACAAAAACCAATTAAAAATGCAATTCAAGCAAGTATTAATATATTTTTCAAGTAGGTATAGGTACACAGCAAAAACTTTCAGGATATATTGAGAAGGTTCTTTCTATCGAACAGATCTTAGGCTCAGAAATGGAGATATGAATTTTTTCTCACTTAGATGCAAAAAATTTGTATAAACTTGGTGTTTGTACTAGCTACCAAAAAGAAATAGATTATAGGACCTGGAATGGCATCAGTGGATATTAATATCATATGCCGTTTGGATTAGACAATGCACCTGCAACTTTTCAAAGAACCATGTGGAATAAAAACCAATTAAAAATGCAATTCAAGCAAGTATTAATTTATTTTTCAAGTAGGTATAGGTACACAGCAAAAACTTTCAGGATATATTGAGAAGGTTCTTTTTATCGAACAGAACAAACCGCGAATGAATCTTAGGCTCAGAAATGGAAATATGAATTTTTTCTCACTTAGATGCAGAAAATTTGTATAAAGTTGGTGTTTGCACTAGCTACCAAAAAGAATTAGATTATAAGACATGGAATGTCAGTGGATATCAATATCATATGCCGTTTGGATTAGACAATGCACCTGCAACTTTTCAAAGAACGATGTAGAACAAAAACCAATTAAAAATGCAATTCAACCAAGTATTAATTTATTTTTCAAGTAGGTATAGGTACACAGCAAAAACTTCCAGGATATATTGAGAAGGTTCTTTTTATCAAACAGAACAAACCGCGAATGAATTTTATACTCAGAAATGGAAATATGAATTTTTTCTCAATTAGATGCAAAAAATTTGTATAAACTTGGTGTTTGTACTAGCTACCAGAAAGAATTATATTATAGGACCTGGAATGGCAGTGGATATTAATATCATATGCCGTTTGGATTAAACAATGCACCTGCAATTTTTCAAAGCACGATGATGTGGAACAAAAACCAATTAAAAATACAATTCAACCAAGTATTGATTTATTTTGCACATAGATATAGGTACACAGCAAAAACTTTCAGGATATATTGAGAAGGTTCTTTTTATCGAACAGAACAAACCGCAAATGAATCTTAGGCTCAGAAATGGAAATATGAATTTTTTCTCACTTAGATGCAAAAAATTTGTATAAACTTGGTGTTTGTACTAGCTACCAGAAAGAATTATATTATAGGACCTGGAATGGCAGTGGATATTAATATCATATGCCGTTTGGATTAAACAATGCACCTGCAATTTTTCAAAGCACGATGATGTGGAACAAAAACCAATTAAAAATACAATTCAACCAAGTATTGATTTATTTTGCACATAGATATAGGTACACAGCAAAAACTTTCAGGATATATTGAGAAGGTTCTTTTTATCGAACAGAACAAACCGCGAATGAATCTTAGGCTCAGAAATGGAAATATGAATTTTTTCTCACTTAGATGCAAAAAATTTGTATAAACTTGGTGTTTGTACTAGCTACCAGAAAGAATTAGATTATACTAGGACCTGGAATGGCAGTGGATATTAATATTATATGCCGTTTGGAATAGACAATGCACCTGCAACTTTTCAAAGAACGATGTGGAACAAAAACCAATTAAAAATGCAATTCAAGCAAGTATTAATTTATTTTTCAAGTAGGTATAGGTACACAGCAAAAACTTTCAGGATATATTGAGAAGGTTCTTTTTATCGAACAGAACAAACCGCGAATGAATCTTAGGCTCAGAAATGGAAATATGATTTTTTTCTCACTTAGATGCAGAAAATTTGTACAAAGTTGGTGTTTGTACTAGCTATCAAAAAGAATTAGATTATAGGACATGGAATGTCAGTGGATAATAATATCATATGCCGTTTGGATTAGACAATGCACCTGCAACTTTTCAAAGAACGATGTGGAACAAAAACCAATTAAAAATGCAATTCAAGCAAGTATTAATATATTTTTCAAGTAGGTATAGGTACACAGCAAAAACTTTCAGGATATATTGAGAAGGTTCTTTCTATCGAACAGATCTTAGGCTCAGAAATGGAGATATGAATTTTTTCTCACTTAGATGCAAAAAATTTGTATAAACTTGGTGTTTGTACTAGCTACCAAAAAGAAATAGATTATAGGACCTGGAATGGCATCAGTGGATATTAATATCATATGCCGTTTGGATTAGACAATGCACCTGCAACTTTTCAAAGAACCATGTGGAATAAAAACCAATTAAAAATGCAATTCAAGCAAGTATTAATTTATTTTTCAAGTAGGTATAGGTACACAGCAAAAACTTTCAGGATATATTGAGAAGGTTCTTTTTATCGAACAGAACAAACCGCGAATGAATCTTAGGCTCAGAAATGGAAATATGAATTTTTTCTCACTTAGATGCAGAAAATTTGTATAAAGTTGGTGTTTGCACTAGCTACCAAAAAGAATTAGATTATAAGACATGGAATGTCAGTGGATATCAATATCATATGCCGTTTGGATTAGACAATGCACCTGCAACTTTTCAAAGAACGATGTAGAACAAAAACCAATTAAAAATGCAATTCAACCAAGTATTAATTTATTTTTCAAGTAGGTATAGGTACACAGCAAAAACTTCCAGGATATATTGAGAAGGTTCTTTTTATCAAACAGAACAAACCGCGAATGAATTTTATACTCAGAAATGGAAATATGAATTTTTTCTCAATTAGATGCAAAAAATTTGTATAAACTTGGTGTTTGTACTAGCTACCAGAAAGAATTATATTATAGGACCTGGAATGGCAGTGGATATTAATATCATATGCCGTTTGGATTAAACAATGCACCTGCAATTTTTCAAAGCACGATGATGTGGAACAAAAACCAATTAAAAATACAATTCAACCAAGTATTGATTTATTTTGCACATAGATATAGGTACACAGCAAAAACTTTCAGGATATATTGAGAAGGTTCTTTTTATCGAACAGAACAAACCGCGAATGAATCTTAGGCTCAGAAATGGAAATATGAATTTTTTCTCACTTAGATGCAAAAAATTTGTATAAACTTGGTGTTTGTACTAGCTACCAGAAAGAATTAGATTATACTAGGACCTGGAATGGCAGTGGATATTAATATTATATGCCGTTTGGAATAGACAATGCACCTGCAACTTTTCAAAGAACGATGTGGAACAAAAACCAATTAAAAATGCAATTCAAGCAAGTATTAATTTATTTTTCAAGTAGGTATAGGTACACAGCAAAAACTTTCAGGATATATTGAGAAGGTTCTTTTTATCAAACAGAACAAACCGCAAATGAATCTTAGGCTCAGAAATGGAAATATGAATTTTTTCTCACTTAGATGCAAAAAATTTGTATAAACTTGGTATTTGTACTAGCTACCAAAAAGAATTAGATTATAGGACCTGAAATGGCAGTGGATATTAATATCATATGCCGTTTGGATTAGACAATGCACCTGCAACTTTTCAAAGAACGATGTAGAACAAAAACCAATTAAAAATGCAATTCAACCAAGTATTAATTTATTTTGCACGTAGGTATAGGTACACAGCAAAAACTTTCAGGATATATTGAGAAGGTTCTTTCTATCGAACAGATCTTAGGCTCAGAAATGGAGATATGAATTTTTTCTCATTTAGATGCAAAAAATTTGTATAAACTTGGTGTTTGTACTAGCTACCAGAAAGAAGTAGATTATACTAGGACCTGGAATGGCAGTGGATATTAATATTATATGCCGTTTGGATTAGACAATGCACCTGCAACTTTTCAAAGAACCATGTGGAACAAAAACCAATTAAAAATGCAATTCAACCAAGTATTAATTTATTTTGCACGTAGAGGTACACAGCAAAAACTTTCAGGATATATTGCGAAGGTTCTTTTTATCAAACAGAACAAACCGCAAATGAATCTTAGGCTCAGAAATGGAATTATGAATTTTTTCTCACTTAGATGCAAGAAAATTGTATAAAATTGGTGTTTGTACTAGCTACCAAAAAGAATTAGATTATAGGACCTGAAATGGCAGTGGATATTAATATCATATGCCGTTTGGATTAGACAATGCACCTGCAACTTTTCAAAGAACGATGTAGAACAAAAACCAATTAAAAATGCAATTCAACCAAGTATTAATTTATTTTGCACGTAGGTATAGGTACACAGCAAAAACTTTCAGGATATATTGAGAAGGTTCTTTTTATCAAACAGAACAAACCGCGAATTGATCTCAGGCTCAGAAATGGAATTATGAATTTTTTCTCACTGAGATGCAAAAAAATTGTAGAAAATTGGTGTTTGTACTAGCTACCAGAAAAAATTAGATTATAGGACCTGGAATGGCAGTGGATATTAATATCACATGCCGTTTGGATTAGACAATGCACCTGCAACTTTTCAAAGAACGATGTGGAACAAAAACCAAATAAAAAAGCAATTCAACCAAGTGCCTATTAATTTATTTTTCAGGTAGGTATAGGTACACAGCAAAATACTTAAATTTAAACATTTATACTAAACTAATAATAATTCACAAATTATAATATTTAAAAATAATCTCTCCGATAAAAACCAAGAAGCTCAGCATTAATCCAGACATCCACATAAGAAGAACTCCCAAAAAATGGCTAAACTTCAAAATGGTACTAGCTACCTTCACATTTTTCCTGTTATTCGACAAACGATCTGAAACGCCAAATTCTCGCACCCTCAACGAGATCCTTTTCAATTTCTCCCTATAAGGCGAATATCTCTTACATATAAAACTACCAAAAGCTGGTTGAACGGTTTGCCTCATGATGACGTAATGGAATTTTTGTTTTCGATTAGCAAAATATTTATTGAACATGTCTGCTATTGTATATGGAGCCAGGAATACTGCGTCTCCTCGATTTTTCAAAAGTTTATCGTTCCATTCAGTCTTTGATAGAATTTGATATTTCAAATCAGTTTCTACAAAATCAGCGGCCAGGATTGGTAAATTAGTTTGGTTCAAATCTTCCAAAGTTTGTATTCTCTCTTCAAGTTTTTGAGTCAAAATAATGGACAAAGTTATATAGTCGTAAATAAATGATATTAATAATCCAGTTAAAAGCCAAGTTCCACGAATGACTGATTTCTGTTTGATAAATTCAGGAATTGGTAGTTTATAAAATACTTTCAAAAATGATAAAAATTCCCAGTTCCTTTTAGTTGAATCTAGGGACAAAAATTTATCAAACAATGCCACAACAGCACAAGTAATAATCACAGCACTAATAAATCTAAAATCAAATAAATATAAAACATGGTACCATTTGGGTACTAATTTAGCTTTGGGTACTAAAGCTACTATATTATTTAACATATGTGGATATGTGAAAACGATATGTTTTGATGCTAAAGGCTCAAGAGTTGCAAAATTAGAACCCACTGCTTGGGTTACCCCAACAAAATCAACATCAGAATGAGCAATTAATAAAATTAAATTTTTAATTGTACTAGCATTTTTCGTTACCAGTACTTTGGTCACTGAAGGATTAAGTTTAGTATATATGGATCTTAGAAAAATTGCATCAAAAGTATTTAAAAATTCATTGTCCGTATAAAAACTCGGATATTTTAGTATTTTCATTGGATATTGATGCATGTCTGTAAGTTTATCTGGAAATTCGTCAAATTGTTCATGAATTTCAGCCATAGATATCAAGTTCAATTTTTCTGTGAAAGGATTATAACTTGCTTCACTCAAAGTACCATTGATATATAAAACGACAAGGTTTAATATTTTATATCTCCAAAAAAATTTTAACATATTTTCCAAGAAAGCAACGTCTTTAACTTGATAACACAAAAATATTCTAAATTTTCCAAAATTGTTAAAAAAGTCGGTCTTAGGTATTAATACGTTGAAAAATTCCTGTTCGTAATTTGAGGAATCCTGCAACACCATTGTCGTTAAGCTCGTTCTTGTATCTTGAATAGTATAATTAGTTTCTTCTGGCGATGCTATTTTTTGGCCGCATTTGCCTTTGCTATGCTTTTCTATGTAATAGAAAATGTCCAAATAATCGTTATCAGTAGGAGTGAAAATACTGTTGCAGGTCCTAAATTTATAATGACTTTGCACGTGATTGTTGTAGTTTATTAGACTTGTTTTTAATTGTTTGTTCCAAAGATTTAGTAGTTGTTTTGTTGCTACTGTGCTAATTAATAGGAACAAAAATGAAAATTTCAACTTCATTTTTCGAGGCGTAATGCTATTGCAGTAGAACTGATGTGGTGATAATTATATACTTGGTTTGAAATTTAACCGTGCGATTAATATGCTAATGCATTGCAGACATTTCTATAAGCGAGTGTATATTTACTTAAGCAGTAATTATGTAAGAGCTTAACTGAAAAAATTGGATATTAGAATTTGAGTCTAGAATAATATTTCAGGAAATTAATTAATATTCTAGATACGGTGTAGTTGTTATAAATAGCTATCAATAATATTTTTGTTTGTCTAATCGAGCAAATGGAAAAAATAATAAATTGATATTTATTCAATAAATAATTAATCATGGATAAATCAAATCAGATAAATGTTATCACCTGGCCTGAGTTGGTTATTGAAAAGCTTGAAAAATAAGAGAACTTTGGTATATTATGCCCAGAAAGTCATAATAAATTTATTGATTATTTCGATCCGGTCTCTGCTTTCATCTAATAAGACTTCTAATGAAAGTCACAACTATATACAAGATAAAATATGTAACCAGGGACAAGCAGTATAGTGGCTCTGTTGTTACTATACTCTGGTAAGTACGTTACTTAATCTGCATTCAATAATTCTGTCCAGTAAGTGGAAATCATTCGCCTCTAGACTTGAACTAATCATTGTCATTTATAAAAAGTCTACAAAAGAAAAAAGTCCACCTCTTCCCTAATATAATATGATCGATAGGGATTTCTTTATTGAGGCCGCTTTAGCTTCAACAATAATCAAAATAGCTTTAAAATATATCATTCTGTGACACCTGAAAAACATAACAGATTTGATGCTGCGGCGTTATCCATTTGGGACAATCAGGTATGATGATATAAAATATTCATAGTGGGCTTTTTCCCTTAAGTAAAATTATTGCATGTTTACCAACAAAACCAAGCACCAATGATGACCGCGATCATATTTTATTCTGTCTCAGAGTTATATCTGATTCAAAAGACACTCAGAAAAAATAATAGTAGTATCAAAGGAAGGAGGTTCAGATCCATTTAACTGTTAATATAAATTCAACAAAATTCTAGCGAAAGACATGTGAATTAGGTGCAAGTCAATTTTGGTTAATAATTAAATCTTGGTCAATCCATATTTTATTTATTCACAAACGCATTCACTGGACAAAATCAAAATAAAAATCTTTGACATTGAAAGAAGTGCTACCAGGTACCAGAGGTCATCGTATTGCCTTGTCTTTTTTTAAGGTTTCTTGGTCAATGATACGCTGATATTTTTTTAAATTAAAGCCAAACCCTGGGTGTAAAGATTTTTTTATTAAATCGACCTTGGGTGTTATTATATCGAATTAATGCAGATTTGAAATTTGCAGACCATATCGTAGGTACTTAGTCAGTAGAGCTTAAGAATTTATTCAATCACTGAGTATCTATTTAAATCAGAAAATAATTTATTTATTTTACAATAATTATTATTAGGTTGAATTCATGGATAATATGTTTGAAATTGATTATAATTAGTTAAGCTTCTGAACTCATTAACAGAAAGACTCTTTCTGAACCTTTATATTTCTATGCTCTAGATAATAGAAAGTACCTGCTAGGTAACAACCAGACACTTACCAGTTGGTCCATAATTTGGCCCTAAATGTCATAAAGATTTTCACTGACATTTTCAATCAAAGTCATTCTACTACTTTTTAGAAAACTTCATAGAGCACAACTTGTTTTATTGAACACAACTGTTTATTATAAGAATCTCTCTTACCTGAATCCAAACTTTTCCCTCGAAAACAAAATTTCCAGGTTCACCGAACGGCGTCACTATCTCCAACCGGTAATTTTCGGGCATTACATTTTGAGGTAACCTGTAGGCGTCGACCAGAGACAAAATTGTGAAAACCGTAAACGGAACTCCTTTGAATCTCATTTTCAAGCTGCAACAGAAACAGATTCTTAGATTAAATGATTTTTATCACAAAACATGTGTCTGAAGATAATGGATTGTATTAAAAATGCGTCAATTTTTGACTTAACTCTGTCTAACTTGCAAGTTTATAAGTAGTCAAATTGCTGCTGCAGTAGTATTTTTTGTGATTTACCCAAAGAAAACAGACAAAAAACAACAAATAAAAATGATACTCCTTTTCTGTAAATATAGCCATTGGGAAACTTGTATTATTGAGTTGAGAGTGGCTTGTGAAAACTTCCTTAGAAGATCCATGAAGCCCTTTATAATTATGTGAAAATACACCTTAGTTATGGAACAACACGAGTTTCATAAATGACATTTCGCATCCAACTTCAAACTTGTCTCAATCACTTTTCGATTATTTCCAGAATATTTTGCCTTCATGCAATTCTAATGTATTCAATCATTTTCTACCCAGATCTAAGAAAACCAACAAGATTTCCTGATGAGTCATGAAAACGATCCAGAATATCAATTAGTTTCAAAATCTTCTTCTCTCGTACTCCCGTCACGTTTCCAGATTTTCACCAATCACAATGAAAATCTTTTGGAAAGATGTTGTCAAGGGGTTTAATTGGGAATTCGAGAGTGTAATTCAGTGTTAGTGAAGTAGTTTAAAGTTGACCTGTTATATTATTTACAACCCAGGCTGCAGACCTGTCATTTTGGCGATAAAGATGATGGGATACCAGCGATCAAAAATAGGACAGAAGTTAAAGTAAGTACCTAGGTAATTCCTACGAAGGGTGAGTGTTTAGTAACTGTTAAACTAGGACGGGCTACCCCTCATAATTACCCAGGAAAACCGAGCAAGTTTGCTTGGCCGAAATTGGTTTGAAGGTTTGGGTTTATCTATCATAGGGGTAGGTAAGTCAAATTTATTCTTTGTCCAACTATGTCCAGAAATACCCTGAAGTATTCGCTGGAAAGTTATAATTCTATAGGGGACATCCAGTTAGTTTTTTCCTGGATCCAAAATTTCAAGCCGATCATTTTAAAAGCTCGAAAAGTGCCATTTCCATCAAAGGAAAAAATTGATATGGAATAAGACTATAAGGCAATGTGTTCTGGAGCCAACTACTCATGCTAAATGGTGTACTCCAATAGTAGTGGTTTGCAAAGATAACGGAGAAGTTCGAATTTGTGGGGACTATTGTAGTACATTGAATCGTGCCCTACAGGCAGAGCCTTATACAGTGCCCTCTGTTCGAAGTATATTATCAGTGCTAGCAGGAGGTAAAATATTTTCTAAATTGGACATGGCACAGGCCTATTTACAGTTAAGCGTCGATCGTGAAGCCGCCGAAGAACAGACGATAATTACCCACAAAGGTGCATTTTAATGTAATCTTTTACAGTTTGGTACCTATCTCAGTACCTAGCCCCACAAATTTTTCAACGTTTTATAGACATGTGACTAGCAGGAATTCCAGGTGTGCTGCCATATTATGACGACATACTAGTTGTCGGACAATCAGAAGCTGATTTAGACAGTAAAGTGCGCGCAGTGCTTTCACGTTTTAGGAAAGATGGACCTAATTTACGCAAAGATAAATACCAAGTCAATAGATTTTCTAGGATATCGAATAAGTGAAGATGGTATTCGGCCCACTAAAGAGAAAATCCAGGCGATAGCTAATGCCCTGGCGCCTAAGAATAAGACTGAACTACAGGCTTTCCTTGGACTTTTGAATTTTTATCATGTTTTCCTTAAAGACAAAGCAACTATAGCAAACCCATTGCATTGCCTTCTGAGAAAAGAATCGCAATGGCAGTGGCATACCGAAGAACAAGCGGCGTTTGATGCATTAACGGACATTTTAAGTAGAGAGCCAGTTTTAGCACATTATACATATAAAAAAGACCTCATTTTAACATGTGACGCCAGTCCCTGGTGTGGGCTATGTGATCAGTCAGTCAAATGATGATGAGAGAGAAGCTCCAGTGATATATCACAGCCGTACACTGTTGCACAGCGAGAAGAATTCTGCCCAAATTGATGAGGAAGCTCTCTCCATAATTACAGGAATTAAGAAATTCCATGATTATATCTTTGGCCGCAAAGTAACTATCAGGACAGACCATAAGCCATTACTAGGTATTTTCAATCCAAATAAAAGTGTTCCAGAAATACTTTCACCCAGAATGCTGAGATGGACTCTAAGTGCGCGTTCACATTGACACCGCTCGAGCGGTGATCGTTGCGCGATGCCGCTGTAGTGATGCCCAAAAATAATTTTAACATTATATTTCAAATGAACAAGTTCACACTGGGGCAGCGTGTCGCGCGGTTTTAACATGTTTATTTGAAATATAATGTAAAAATTATTTTTGGGCTTCACTACAGCGGCATCGCGCAACGCTCACCGCTCGAGCGGTGTCAATGTGAACGCGCACTAATGTTAGCCGCATATAACTATCATTTGGTTTATGTGCCAGATTCAAAATGCAGATGCTCTGAGCAGATTACCTTTAAATATTAATACTCCAGACGCCCCAGCGGCAGATGAGGTCCTGATGCTAGAAAACATCCCAGAAAAAAATTTCTGCGCTAAAGACATCCTAGAAACTAGGAAAGATCCAGTTTTATCAAGGGTTTTACAGTGGGCATGGAAAGGTTGGCCAGAAAATCAGAATGGATTTAGGAGAGAGTATACACCTTTTTTGCAACGCAAAAATAAAATAACCTGCTATCAGGATTGCTTATTGTGGGGCACTAGAGTTATACTTCCACCAGGGGAAAGGAAGAGAGTGCTCAAAATACTTCACATAGTGAAAATGAAGGCACTAGCAAGGCATACATCTGGTGGCCTAGCATGTACAAGCAAATTGAGGATTTAGTGAATAGGTGTGCTGAGTGTCAGGAGTCAAGAAACATGCCTAAAAAATCGCCAGTACCTACATCCTTGGGAATGGGCACGGGGCCCTTGGACTCGAATACATCTTGATTTTGCCAGCCCAATGAACGGAAATATTTTCTTAATAATTATGATCGATGCCTTCTCAAAGTAGTTGGAAGTAAGGCTATATAATACCTAGTAATTCCAGTGCATCAACGATTACAGTGCTGCGGGAATGTTTTGCCACACATGGCATACCGGATGTCGTTGTTCCGGATAATGGAACAGCGTTTACTTCTGTAGAATTTCAAGAATTCTTAAAAAAAAAAAAAAATTAGACAAGCTCTAGTAGCATCTTACCATCCCAGTAGTAATGGTCAGGCAGAAAGGATGGTGCAGAATATTAAAATTGCAATTAAGAAAATGACTGGTACCAATGTACAACTGGCCCTATTCCGATATTTATTGAGCCAACACATAACTCCGCATAGTTTAACAGGTATAGATCTCCAGTAGAAATGCTAATGGGCCGTAGATTATCTACTCTACTTGATAAATTACAACCAGATTTTCGGAGGGAGATCATGACTAAACAAGAAGACAAGCAACGTACAGAACAAGGGAAAAAGACCAGGTTTTTCAATGATAATGATCCAGTCTATGTAAGATCATTTGCAGCGGGTCAGAAATGGTTGCCATCAACGATTATCGAAACTACAGGTCCGCTGAGCTACAAGGTCCAAACACCTGAAGGAAAAAATCATGCGAAGGCATTCTAACCAAATCCGTTCACGAGTTTCGGACGGGTTGAAATCAGACTTTCCTAGCAATGGCGAGTTCTCAGTAGAGTTAACTACAGAGTTTTTACCATAGACGGAACCATAAATCTCTGATGTGAGGGTGCCAATTGTTCATACGCCTATGAGGATCAGGCGGCCCCCAAAATACCTAGAAGAGTATGCTACGTAAAAAATATCCAGGGGGAGGAGTTTGGTGTATTGTGTCTGTGTTGTTGCGTTTTGCTAGAACTGTGAAAGTGATTAGTTGTTTTAGACATTGATTAGTTACCACAGATTAACCCGTCCTAAAGATAGGAAACTCAGGCCTTTTCCCCTATCCTTGTCTTACTCATGCAGCGAGTTGCATGACTGCCACAGCATGGTGGCGATAGTGTGCACCTCGGTGTGTCCAGTATTGTGGCAGTAGTCACGTGATTCCCGCATGTTCCCGCCTTCTTTCAAATAATTTGTCTAATCAATTTCATTTCAATATTAAACCCTATTTTTTGGAAATAAAATAACAACATTTCAATACTATCTCCTTCTTTAACAGAAGAGCCTGTAACACAACAACAGAAAACCGTATTGAGAAAAAAACACTAAAAAGTTGAAGGGTCTAGTGCACAAATGACTTTGTCAAAAATAGCAACTAAATACCATCACTAAAACCATTTTCACAATTTTTACATGTAACATAAAGTCTCTTTGGTTGAAATAGTTATTTATGCAACAAGTGTGTAAAGTGAACCTTTTTTCACGAATGTGCGACAATCACATGAGAGAAAAAAGGTGCTTTACGCACGTATTGCATAAAAAAAAAATTCTACTACCAATCAAATATATGTGAAAAAATAGATTTGGACAAATACTTTACGAACTAGTGCGTGAAGTATTTTCACTTTACGCACTAGTGCGTGAAGTAATTTACCAGAAAAATACTAAATTGACAGTGTCGACATCTGTCATTGACATTACTTTACGCACCAGTGCGTGAAGTGAATTACTTTACGCACTAGTGCGTGAAGTGGAATTTTACGTCTTCTGAATAGTGCGTAAAGTGAGTACTTTACGCACGATAGTAGAAAAACATATTAAGAAGTCAAAGTTTCACCACAAATTAATAGAAAATCAAATAAAGAACAACATAGAATAAGAAGAACACTAACACATAGCAAACGGCTGACTAATGGCAAATACAATGACAAATTACATTCTTTCACAGATGACATTTGCTTGTGGCTTTGCTATACTAGCGCCGCATAGCTTTGGCAGTCATGAAACTCTCTTACGTGTAATTTTTTAGACAGCTCCGAACGAACATTTTACATGGAAGTTTCCTATCTTTAGGACGAGCTAATCTGTATTAGTTACTTTTATTTTTGTAGTTTTATATGTTTGGGGTGCCATTGTTGGCCAGGTGGGAAAAGTAATGTCGTAACTGACAGTTGAGATAAAATTTGATATAAAATCTGTTTTTTTTTAAAGATGATTCCCCAAGTCAAAAATTTAGTAGCTATGTTGGCAACACAAGCCTTTTCTACATAAACAATTTGAAAGCATTGACAATTTTACATTGGATTGCCAACATAATGTCATTTTGACTTTTATCTTTAACAAAAAAAAACAGACTTTAACTATTGTCAAGGGGTTTAATTGGAAATTCGAGAGTCTAAATCCAGTGTTAGTAAAGTAGTTTGAAGTTGAGCTGTTGTATTATTTACAACCCAGGCTGCAGACCTGTCAGGAACCAAAATGGAAGAAAAATAATACCTATAGTTTATTTTTTTCCAAGATAGATTTTGGCATTGTCAACTTTGAAACATAAACCAATGCCGCTAATGCCGCTTATTGGTCGCTATTGTAAAACTGATGTCAACCTGCAGAAACACCTCATTTTGCGACCAATTAGGGTCAAGCGTTATTGTTTATGTTTCAAAGTTTTCAATGTCAAAATCTATCTTGGGAAAAAATAAAGTGTACTATTTTAGTGAAATGTCATGATTGTGAAGTTATTTTCATTTATTTCTATATTCCTTGACAAAACTGAGTTCTGTCCTGTAGGTACTGACCTCAGGATTTAGACCAGAATTGTGTTTTAGAATCCAAACTCAGTATAGATGGAGGAGTATAATTAATCCAATTGTACCCATGCAGGCATAGATGAAGTTTACTTGGTTCCCCTTTTCCAAAGGCATTTGACAAATATCTATATGTATATCTATACAGTTGAAAGCTAACAACATTTTATCACATCTAGATAAATAATGGAACCAGACAAATGTTCTGCCTTAAAAATATGCAAACATACCATTGCTATTGGGTAGAGGTCTAAATAAACAACGTCCATTGTTAAATTTTTGTGAATGCTACAAAGAGAAAGCTAATGCCCACACTGTACACGATATGATTATTAGTTTTCGTTGTAGTACTACACGGTTTTGATAGTGGGTATCCGACAGCGAAATCAAATTTGCAATTGGGACAATCAGGCGTGGTACTAATGATAGCTTTTGGTACTCGATGGTGCAATATTAATAATGGGTTAGCTTAAAAATTGTATTTTGATTCGATTAAAGAGGTGAACGAACTGAAATGATACAAGTATTGCGAAATTATTGGTCAAAGCATTTAACAAGAAACAATAACCGAACTCCTAATAAAATATATAGTTTTTTTTTTCAAAGGTATAGGTACTTTATGAAACTTCTTAATTAAAAAACACTATTCAGTACCTGCACTTTCATGTTTTGATTAGAAGCAGAACTAAATGCTCTTTAACTAATAATGTTTCCTAATTGCCTAGTCTTATTATGTTTCAATTATTATAAGACTGTACGGCCTATAGTAGTTATGGTATATAAGTGAATTATTGCAAAACTTGCACATTTTTCCATTCAAGGGTAAATTTGCAATATTTACTCTTTTTAAAGTAGTTTGATTAAATACATGCAAATAAATTGAGCAAATAAAATTAATAAGCTCACCAATGCTAATGTCATTAATTTTATTAAGAGGAAACGTATAATTACATAAACATTTTTGAATCCATATGGTTCATATGAGGAAGCTAATAATACGAATTTACATAATTTATATAAAAATTATATAAAATACACTCAATTGAAATCATTTTATGGTCGAATTGTTTAAATACATATGTAACTAAGCAATAAATACGTGCAATTTTTATATATGTATGTATTCACAAAAGCTTTATGTGTACAGTAGGTATAAGTTTAAACAAAAACTTGATCTGTTTGAAAACTACTGTTAACAAACCTCAAATTAAAACTCGTAGGTTTATAGTTTTCGTTATTCGAGCCCAAAATAATATTTATATTGGCAATTAATAAACGCTTACTAATATGTTCATTACAATCGTAATGTAAACCTCTAACGGACAAAATAGTTAAAATATATAAGTAGCCAATTTATAAAGAAAACGTGGTCTAGTGTGATGCTTTCCAATTTTTTCGCCAACTCATATTTTTTTACAACCGCAGAGAGAATTAAATATACAAATAAATGACATATTTTACAGGTAGTTATTTATGAATATTGGCCAAAATTACATACTTTTGAAGAACCATTACATAAACAAACAAAATTATTATCAACTATCTTGAATAATTCTAAATAATTATTATACATCAATTTCTTTAATAATGGCCTAATGAAGCATAAATCCCTAACTAATTTTTATTAATTTAATAAGTATTCCATCCAGCAAAAGTTGCCCAAAAAAAAATAAATTCGTTGACCTCTTGTGGTACCATGTTACCTAAAACTGGTGCCTAGTCACTCACCTGTTGTTAATTCGATACAATAAATCAATATTCCATTAATCAAAATTTACTGCGAACAAACCACTATTCTTTACTTGCCCAGAATCAGACGGACAACATTATGAATACTACTTTACTACTTTGCTTTAGTGTAATTTTTATTGTTTAAGTGTATCTTTCCCCACCTTTTGGCGCGATCATGGGCGTCGGAGATAGAGCTAAACGACGATTATTGTTATCGGGGGATAAAGGGATTTATTTGTAAGAGAAGCTGTGTGGTGTGTAAACAAAAAATGAGAACTGAGGAAAGACTGTTAAATGCTGGTTTTTATTTGATTTTGGTCTTTTCGCTATTCCTGGGGTATAATTTGGAAAAAAACAGCTTCAAGATTGAAGCAATAGCAATAGGTTAGAGGTTGGGACGACGTTGATGGTTCTTGCGATCTGACCAACTTAAGACTTGCCATTGAAAATCTCTCTTTGGAAAAAGTCAGTGCTAGGATACTGAAAATTGATAGAAGCAACAGTACAGGAGAAATTACATAATCAAGGCTCGAGAATCAAAACCAAAAACTTAAAAAGAGGCTTTTATGTATCAACTACTACTAAAGAATTAAGTTTTTTGTCGCTAGTCCTCCATCGAGCGCCAGTGTAACGAATAACGAAAAAGTTGGAAGCATATTGAGCCATATACGCATGGCTTAGAATGAGCTGGCTTGACAGAGTTACAAATGAAGAAGTATTCTTGAAAATGAACAATAAGAAAGAAGTTATTATGGCATAGAAGCAGAAAAAGATGGCATATTACGAGACATCCAGATAAATATGGTGTTCTACAAAGTTTCAGTACCTACCTAATAGAAAGTAGAACAGCTAATAACAACACGATTGGCAACTTTTGATAATGGATAGAGCATCCATAAATGAAGAAAATGAGTTTCAAGAAACAATACCAGAAGTTGAAAGTTTATTGAAGCAGGTAGGTACCTTATTAGTAAATAGGTACCACTGAAGAAATAATTAAAGAAGTACAATATTGATAATTGATTATGATACCCAAAGCCGAGCTTCAAGAATCAATACCAAAAAATTATGATAAGTTAAGCTTTTTGTATTGATTATTCAATTTTTTGTTCTATAGGTACATAGGTACCTCCTCCAGGAGTAACAAATAACGTAAGGAATAAGTATAAGTACCTTTTTCAATAGAACATTCCATTCTCAAGCTTCTGTATGAAGGAGGCAAATTCATTTCTTAATAGTTTGGGACCTTATTTTATCAATGATTCAAAAACAGAAGGAGCATTTGCTAGCCCAAAAGGCTACCGTAAAAATTCGTAATCGTAATGGCTGTCGGGGGTTATACGAATGCGGTCTTGTGGAACAACAATTTTTCTCTTTGATCAAATGCTTCAAGAGTAAATAATGGATCAATCGTATTCTCAAGGAGATTCTGTTGAAAATTAAACTGGACCCTAACAAATAAATTAATGGTTTCCATTAAGTTGATATCGGGTATTTTTAAAGAACACTGCTAAACTCTACAAACGTTGTTTGAAGTACCTAGGTAACTGTCTGCAAATTAATCCTGATTATTTTGTTAACTTCTTGTGGAGGTCTTGAATTTGAAGTTGATTCTGATGAGCAGATACTTTGATTACTGATGTTTATTGCGTTGAATTCCTCCCAAATCACTTTTGTAACGTTTTTAAATCTAATTTTTTATTGCAAATTCAATTATCTAATCTAATTATCGCCCAGCCCATATTAATAATAAATTTTTGGGTGTGATATTAATATTAACAAACTGCATAGCATTTTTTTTTGGCCTTGCTCCTATTATTATTACCAACAATGGGTCTATAATTGGCACTAATCGTTTAATAGGTATTAAATCTATATACAAGGAAAGCGACAGTTTTAACTAAGTAACATTGAACTTGATCATTGATTGCAACATTCGATTTGGCATAAACTATCTATTAGGTCAATTGAAATAATCACTGATGATTAAGCGTACGATTTGGTGGGTTCAGATTATTTTTGCCTTCATCTATACTTACGTCAATACAGTTTAGCGAAAAATAAGATTTTTTCATGCTAATAAATATAACAAAGTTTTCAGGTAGGCACAAGAATTTGACAAAAAATTGTAAAAAAAATTGTCTGCACTAAAGTGCTAGTACCTACACCTACAAACATTGTCTGAAAGTGTCTGTGTAAAAACTACTGCTAGTACCATCTTCTTAAAGATACTCGTGACTTATGAAAGCTGGTTGGTATTCTGCAGTACTGTGGGTTATGTTGCTGAATCAGTTCAAAAGAAATTCCTGAGATGGCGGCAGTTATATTAGATTTCAAAATTTATACTTTAATTATTCAACCATATACTTGTAATAAGCAATTTGTTGAAGTTTGCAGCTAAAAACTCATGTCCAAATTTCTGGTCAGACAATACAGGGCGTTCCTAAATATCATGTACAAACGAAAGGGGGTGATTCTTTGGTTTATTTTATGACTAAAATTTCTAATAAACATAGGTCCGCAAACACTTTGTTACCGATCTACAGGGTGTTGAAGTTTTAATACTTTTTTAGTTTTTTTTCTATAGCACCTGCAATTTTTGAGGAATTTAGCTCAAATTTGAAATATAGGCTACGCAATAGGAGCTGAATGATTCCACATGTCAAACGTTTGCCAGAATCTACAGGGTGATGTTTTTTCAGGAGTCATATGCCCCCTTTTCTGCCCCTGAACTTTTTCGCAGTGCGCCGCTGGTCGATTCTAAGAAATAATATAATTTTTCTACCTCATTTAGAAACTTTTTGTTCTCTTGTAGTTTTTTCGTATCACCGACCCTTATCGAGAAAAAAATTAAAAAACAAATCTTGGTAATTAGCTAGATGAAACTCAAGTGACTCAATAAACCTTTTCTATCTACAGTGGCGACAATAGAGGTCCCGCAGTCACATTCTTGCTCATTTTCAAAAGGAATCTAGAAGTAATAGAAACCCCTCGCCGCCATATTCTTGCTTATTTTCAATATGAATACATTAAAATTTCAACACCCTGTAGATCGGTAACGAAGCGTTTGCGGACCTATGTTTATTAGAAATTTTAGTCATAAAATAAACCAAAGAATCACCTCCTTTTGTTTGTACATGATATTTGGGAACACCCTGTATATATACAATTTATTACGTGATTGTTTAAAATTGTTGTTTGCATGTAAACTACAAAATTTTCTGCTTAGGATCCTCAACATCAAGTTAATGAACCCATCTGCATTTCATCTGAACGTCTGAAGACCAATAAAAAAAAAAAAAAACGTCTAAAGACGTCCATAATAAGATGTCCTAAATTCACATTTTAATGACAGTAACTCGGCAACACTATTTCATACAACCGGACCTAAAAGTGAATAATGGTTTACCTATGTATTCAAAAGAGATTCAAAGACATTTTTTTAGAAATTTCGTTGAAGATGTCTTTAGAAAGCCTTAGTTCTAAAGGCGTCTTTATAGGCAGACGTCTGAACAAGGTTTTGTAATATATGACGTCTCCAAGATGTCTTCAAGACGTAAGCAAGACATCTTGAATGTCGTTTGGTGGACATCGTAGGAACGTCTTTAAGATGTCTATAAAAATTTCCCACAGAATTCATTTTTCATTCAATTTAGAAGTTACTGGAAACCATTTAGAATGCTACAGAACACTTCAGAACTTTAATAATAGAGGCCTTTTAGAAAGTTTAAAACAGTTACAATTTAATTCAGAATTTCCAAAAGCATTAATTCTGTCGCGCTTCAGAACATTTTGGAAACTTCAGAACCATTTTAGAAACTCCCAAAACATTCAAAAACCAATTTCCAAAAGCATTTTAGAACAATTCAGAAGTTTGAAACCCATCTTAAGCAGGTCCCACACGATGTGGCGAATGCCTTTCAACGTTGGACACCTCGCCATTTGACACACCGTGTGGGCGTGCACTTGAGAATTGCATATGTCCAACGTTGGCCACATGAGACATTCGGGCTCTTGTCGGTAAAATTTAAGCCGGTCCCACACGATGTGGCGAATGCCTTCCAACGTTGGACACATCGCCATTTGACACACCGTGTGGGCGTGCACTTGGGAATTGCATGTGTCCAACGTTGGCCACATGACATTTTCGGGCTCATGTCGGTAAAATTTACCCGCGTCAAAGGAACTTCCAACGTTGGAACCATCGTTCGTCACACGCCTACACGAGCGATCATGACGTGTTTGTCGCATTTAGTATAGAATCAGTGTAGTACCAAAGATTTTATTTTATTTTTTGGTTTGTTTTGCTATACCTATATTTTTCTCATTATAGAATGTAGATTAATAATGGAGTGGAAATAGTGGAATAATGAACTTATTCTTGAACTTATTCAACTGTATGAGAAACATCCTATTTTATATGGAATCCCAAACATCAGGGATACAAGAAAAGAAATGCTCTAAGTGATGTAATAATTTTGCACAAAGTAGAACTATCATGCCTGCAGCAATGCTTATGTCTTCATCTTCCATTTTTAATATATATATATATTTTTTTTTCCGTTGAACAATTTTTACGCGAACTACGACTAGGACAATGAACATAGATTGACAACGTTGGCACCAATATGCGTCCAATGTTGGAACTGAAAATTCACCCCATCGCGTGGGAGACACACTTGCTAATTGTAGTGTGTCAAAACATTGGTTCCAACATTGGATCCAACGTTGGAGCCAACTTTGGACGCATCGTGTAGGACCGGCTTTAATTACCCGCGTCAAAGGAACTTCCAACGTTGGAACCTTGTTGGAACAATCGTTCGTCACACGCCTACACGAGCGATCATGTGTTTGTCGCATTTAGTATAGAATCAGTGTAGCACCAAAGATTTTTTAATTTCTCTTCCGAATCTGACTCTATTCTTGTTTATTATTGTTTTTTTTTTAGGTATTGTTGTAAAAGTCGTAGTAAGTATTTTGATTTTGAGAACCTATTCACATGTTATTAAAACTTAAACTTATTAAAAACTATTAAAATTTTATTTTATTTTTTTTTGGTATAGCAAACCAAACTATACCTATATTTTTCTCATTGTGGAATAATAATGGAGTGGAATAATGAACTTATTCTTGACTTTATTCAAC